ATAAACATGTATAGAATAAGTTTGTTTATCTTTTGAAGCTTCTTTTCATTTGAAATTTATTTTCATCAGTCACCCGGTACCTACCAGTAAGTATTATTTACTCGTGCATGAATTCTACAAAACATCTGTAGAGCGGTTTTACGACTGTCATTCGCACTGAAATAACCATACACAATACGTAATAAATTTTAATCTGCTCTACGCTATTGTATATTGGCTTAAGCGTATATATTTGCCTTAGATATGATTAACTAAATAAATATATAACGTATTCTGATATATTTGCTCCCGTATAAGTACTCAAATTCGCAAAACACGTTTATCAGTTGCGTACAGTGAGTATTGTTTACAAGTATAATATCATTGCTTGCGTACGAATCTGACGTCAGACGTGCTTGAAATTTTTAATATGGCTGTCCCTTCCCGACAGCCAAACTATACTGAAACGTTATACTAACTGTTGGGAAAACAAGCTCAAAATAAAGTCATTTAAACATTCTAGTTTAAGAAAAATTTCGTGATGCGAATCAGGCTTCAAACTTGGCATCGTCATTTGATTAGGTCGAGTATTGCTTATTTGACAGCAATGTTCGGATCACTTTATTTGGTCTGTGGTTCGGACGGATGGCGGACGAAAAATGGGAGTAGACCCCAGATCTGAGCGAACTAAAGACAAAAAACATTCGCATGGACCTATAACACCGCTATATATGTATATCTTCCCTGTCCAGTAGCTAAAAAGTGAAAACAGATGATACTTTTTTTATCAGTAGCTAAGTAACATACCTGATACCTTAGAAAACACACGCGAATACACGCAATCACTATGTGACAATTAGAAACGGGCGCATTATTGTTACTACCCGACGTCCCATTGTTACGTCCTAGACATATGTGACGATCGTAAAATCGACGCCGGCGGCGCGGCGCGGGCGGCGGCGTCTATTGATTTGTCGACCAGCATCGGTAGCGTATTCGGCGGGAAATCGATACAATTTTCTAGTGTTTAAAAAACTCTAAGACATAGTTCAAATCAACTTCCAAATCCCTCCGAGTCTTTTAAGTCGTATAGGTCTTTCAAGTCTTTTAGTATAACGACTAAGTCTTATTAATAAAAACTCGAACCTCCAGTCTTAATTTTAGAGTCGAGTACTGTAAAATGTAGTCGAGTCTTTATAAAACGCCTTAAAAGACAGAGTCTCTTTCATCGCCATTTGCTGGGGTTTATGGCTAGCTGCAGAGACGGACATGTTGTCTGCCCCGTTTTGCATGTTCCCGTGGCCTTTGTCTCGTGAGCAGCTAGCGCGTCTTAGTAGCGGTCTAGTTGAGGGCCTGAAGCGAGGAGACGCGCGGGGCACGTGAGTTGCCCTTTAAGTTGGAAGCTATGTACGGACATTGTCACAGGACACTGCGACTGACATCTCCGGCACTAACACGGAGAGCTAGTCTAGGATAAGCTAGATATCCTCCGGCCCCCCAACCGCTTAGGTTATTGGGAACTGGAGAGACGTCGTTTTTCGGTGTCGGGAAGTGAGCGTGCCTTACAGCTCCGCCACCAATAAAAAAAGTTAGTGGACTCAGAGTCGACGGCTTAGCGGTGGCAACCGATAGTTAACCGATAGCGTGCCTACAGCTCCGGTATCTATCTGGAAAATAGGGAGGACACTGTACAGGGACGCGGGGCGGCTCACCCGAGGCACTAGCCTCCGAAGAACCGGATGAAGTCAAGAGACAGAGGTCTATGACAACCCTGTACATTGGCTGATCTGGGGTCAGAACCTGAACTTATAAGATTCCTGTGCGCGCACGGGTTACAGTACCCTTCTCGTATGCTCTCAGGGTAGGAGGGTCACTATAATCAAAACTAACGTAGAAAGATATGGAGCTTGTTCATATCAACCTTTGTATTCATTTCCAACATTTTTTACGTATTAATTTTTTGTTTGCACTTTAAACGGCGTAGAAAAGTCATCGATGCAGTGGCGTGATGCACTTGTCTAGTACTCACCCTAAGAATTAAAACGTATTCTGTTGCATATGTTCGTCCATAGCAATACACGTTAATTGAAGTAATTACATGTAACAAATATACGAATAACGTACCTCATAGGCTTTAGGGTTGTCACTCTCGTTGATGCTGTCAAAAAGGTGACCCAGTGCGCGAGACATAAGCCCAGTCATAGTGTGTGTCTTGCCGGCACCGGTGGCTCCGTACGCAAACACCGCTCCCGCGAAGCCTCGAAGAGTATCACCGACTAGCGGAGCACATACTGCTTCATATACTTCCTCCTAGGATCATAAAGACAGAGTTCCAATTAAACTAAAACATCACGCTGTGTCTTGTAGAGTCACAAGGGTGTTATAATACCAACCGATCGACGTCGAATCGATGCCGTCGATCAACGTCGATCGGTGGTTTAAGTATAACATCGATCGATCAAATAAACATTCGACTGTCGATCGACAATGATGGATTTAGTTCATACAGTGGGCTCTCCGGGAGCTTTTATAATGTATACAGATATATAGATCAGGGATGGGCAAACTTTTTTCATTAGTGGTCAGAAAATCATAAGAAATTTCACAGGGGGTCAAAATTAAAAAGAAAAGCATTGTCTTTGGAAACATTTTAAAATTGTTAATGCGTTCAAATTCAAATTCAAATTAATCTTTATTTCATAGGTAAGCATTATTACACTTGAAATCGCCACAATGGTTAAACTCTACATAAGTTCGTTCATAAGGCAGAATCCCCTGAAAAGAATGAGCAAGAAACTCTAAGGGTAAATCTTTGTTAATAACATTTATACACATTCAACATTTACAATATATATTTTTTTGTTTTGAAACATCGGAGATCGAGACTACCTCCATGAACTAAACGAGTTACTACCACGGATTTTTGTCATCCAAGTACGCAGAAGTTGTATAATAACCTTTAGTATAAAGTTTTTGTTTCACTATAGTTTTAAACTCTTGAAAGGCAAATTTTGTATATCAACCGGAATCTTGTTATAGAAGCGTATACATTGCCCCTTAAATGATTTTTTAGCTTTGTGAAGACGACTATCAAGAAGAGCTAGTTTATTTTTATTCTTCGTATTATTGTTGTGTCTGTCACTATTTTTCCTAAAGAAATTACTATTCCTTTTAACATAAATTACATTTTCATAAATGTACTGTGAGGCTAGTGTAAGAATGTTCATTTCCTTAAACTTATCTCTCAAAGATACTTTGGGGGCCAGATTGTAAATTGCCCTAACCGCACGTTTTTGCAGGACAAAGATTCTATTGAGCGTTGTGTTATTTTGTGTCAAAAATATATTTCCGAGGGCTATACACTCCTACTTTCGAGGGGACGTTGGCGAGTCGGATTAAAGCCATTAGCAGGCCAGAGTTGTCCCGCGTACTGATCTTTACCCACCACTGGCTGAGATCGATACTTCCATTATTCAATGACAAATCGAGCAAATCATTGTGTGTAGTAAGAATTGTTCATCGATATTAAGTCACCTTATTCTATCATCGATCTGTGGCATCGATCGATTATAGATTGATTGGTATGGAAACACTCTAATACTAATCTTAAGTATACTCAAAGTATAATAGAATAGAGAATCACTTATTCCGTAAAAATCACAGCACAGTACCCACACACTCAAGAATATAAAAATACAAAACATTTATTCGCTGAAAAATGTAATTAACAAATCAGGGTCTTATAGTATATTATATTGCATCGTACATTTTACCAAGACTTGACATGCGAATATTTTAGACAATTCTTATTTCATTTCTGATGTAAAATGCATTTAAAGTTAAATTAATTAATAGCATAAATAAACAATAACTAGGAGGTCAAAAATATAACATACAATAGACTGTCTGGGAAACCCAAGAGCCGGCAGCTGCCTTGCCCAACGTATTAGCAGATCCAAAGGGGGAACGCCGCCAGCATCTTAGGCACCTTGCCGCGGGGATCCATTATTATTCATATAATTTAATCCTAGTTTTACTTTCTAGTATTTAAGCTTTTACCTTACCTGTATATTATGAAAAACTAATTAACATTATTGAAAGGATCACACAATAGTTAAATTTTACATCTTATATTATCAAGTAAAAATCCTCAATATTGTAGTAGCACTGAATAACTAAAAAATTATGCAATTTTATTTTAAATTGTGTACAATTTAATCCTTTAACAGCATCCGGTAATTTATTATATAATTTGGGTGCTAATACGAAAATCGTACTCATAACTACAATACATAATACTTGACAATTAAAATACAACACTTTTAATTATAACTTTTAAAAAAACTACCTAAAAAGTTTGCGTATCCGTTTTCGCTGTGTTTTATTTTCATTCAAATTACTTTTAATAAAATCGGTTAACGGAAAGTGACTTAGGGAAACTGAAACTTAGAGGTGGAATATTTTCTTCAAATTTGAACGAGACCACTAAAAAGATCCTTTCCAACAAAAAAGAAATCATTACTACACCACTACAGAGCCGCAGAGATTTTGTATACATGTTTGGTTAGGTAGTATTTTGATTTATCTATCTGGATTTTATTAAGTGTAGTGAGACTGACATGGGGTCAAGGACTTGTGGAGTAATGTCCCAAAAAATATTTGATTACCATAATAGTAAATCTTCGTGATATTCTTAACATTACAATGGACTTATTTTCAGTCAGCCGTGACCATGGGATCTGTAAACAACCCCAAAGGCGTAGTGGCATGGTCTCTTTAAAATATACAGGACTTAGATCCGAAAAAATAGTTTAACTTCCAATTATAACTCTGTAATTCTCAAATGCTTTATGCCAAAGGAACACTACACTGGTAAGTAATAAGTATACCAGCCAGGAAGTTACGTGTTTTTAGGAAATAACGTAATATGTTACCTGCGTGCTATCCTCGCCGAAAACGCGGTCGTAAACATAATGCTTGTCATTGCCCCGCCGCGTGCGCAGCACATCTCGGCGACTATCCGCCTCTTCCTCCAGCACCAACATCTAATGTCGGCAATGAAAAACACAAATACATTATCTAATGCACACGTAACTAATGCTCGACAATCAAGTTTCGAACAATCTACTAGCTACTACCTGTAAAGTCTCTCAATAATAACGCACACACTCGTAGTCCCGTACCATAAACGTATCATAAACCCTCAAATTACACCCAAACTCACGAGGGAAATAAAACAATGTAGGCGATAGAAATATTTATCCTAACCCGAGAATCTAAGGCTGCCACCAGATCGACAGCATGCAGTTAATGCGTCAAGTCATTATCAATTCATGCAGTCGTGGTCTCGGCTGCATGAAGTTGGTTACGACTTCACGCATTAACTGCAAACATGCAGTCGATCTGTGAGCCGTCTAACCCGGAACCTCTGCGTGGCAGACCAACATGATCACCGTTCGGCCACGGAGGCAATTTAGATAAATGAAATTCTCACAAGTACCGGCGCAGTTTCGCGATCTCTTCTATTCTGTACGTCATACAGCATAACAGCAATGTGCTTACCTTGTCGCTAACGACATGCACGATGCGCGAACCTTCATCTGCGCGAAGCGGTCGCACACGCACCGCCACCTGCGCCAACACGTATAAAGTTAATACAGGTCAGTTACCATACACCCCTAAGATGACTGTAGAAAATTTAACAGAGCTGGGTATTGCTATGCAGGTTGATGTTCCGTGCACCTTTTTCAACTTACAGAGTTCTTTACGATGGAATTGGTAATTGGCCAATGGTAGTGAATTTAAAAAAATACAGTACAATTGACATCTTCACGTTAGTAGCATATCGTTTATTTTTTAATAAAAAATATGTTTTGTTTGTTAATCCTAAAGTGACAAATTATAATCAAGTTTCGAAAAAATTGCTTTTAGTAAATATTAAATACAATAAGCCTCTATTTCAGCTCTTTTAAATATTTATTACCAATCAATTACACATGTAGATTACAAACAATTGTTACAACATTTAGAAACGAATAAGGTTTAAGGTTTAAGTGTTCATGTATGTCAATGTCCAACAATACAAAAACCATACAATAATAAAGTTATTCTTAATCAAAAGTAAAAAGCTATTGCTTTTGGGCTGTAATTACAATTCTAACCTTCTGCAGCATTTAATGTTTTTTTTAAATAGCTACTATAGTATTTTTTATACAGCTTTTGTTACATATCACACGATGTTGGTAAACTATTCAAACGAGCTTTATAACATACGTAAACTGCTGTTTCTCTTTGTGACACGCATTAGCGTTGCATGTTAAGGGTTTAGTATAACGAAATGTTTATCGATCCAAAAAATTTTAAAAAAGGAACTAAAAAAAAATTTTACGAAAGAAACAAATCTCTTGCATTTTTCGCTTACGCGCCCATTTTTTTAAAATTTGTAACGTGTATCCTGGTTTGTCAAAGCGGGACATTTGAAATATTTTGGGGACAGCCAGACACAAACTTAAAAGCGGAACTGTCCCGCTTCAAGCGGGACGTATGGTCACGTTAGTTTAGTACAAACGCGACGTAAACTTGAAGACCGAGACCTTGATCCCATAACTTAAACTTGTTCCGTTTTGGTATTACTTACCTACATTAACTATCTATGTATTGCTCAAGGTATGCCGTTGAGTTTTATTATTACACGGCATAATTTCTTTTAAAAGTCATGTGTAACGATATATTTTTGTTTCAATACAATCGTGTTATACATTCTCTATTGATATCGCCGACCACGTAATACTATAATATTATTACAAAAGACACAGACTAAATCAAAACATACCTTCTGTGTTATTGAATGTAACCTAAAACATGTCTGTATTTACAAAAGGTTAAAATTATGTTGACCTAGGCCATAGTTTCCCAAAGTGGTCCCTACCGCCCTCAACCTGTGCTACCGCATTTGAAAAACAAACCTGTATTATTTATATAAACTACACTACATATATTTTTCCTTGTGACTTTTGTGTTAATTTAATATAGAAAATACATGTTTTCAATTATTTTTTGTTGTATATTGAAATTTTTTTATTTTGCCTAAGTGGGCGGTAACCAGAAAACTTTGGGAACCTATGAACTAGACGCAAGGCGGCACAAAATACCACGATTTCTTCATAATTAAAAATCTATTTGGCATACACACTAATTGTAACTTGGTTTGTCTGATAAACTTCCCGTATGGAATGACTAATTTTATAAAAAAATGTGAAATAATTCTCAAGATATTGTAGTTTGAGTACCGCTACTTTTAACAGTCATCAAAATTATGGTGATCATAACTATTTCTACAATTTTGCATAAAATTTACATTTAGGCATTGGGTAAAACAACTAATTGTGAGTCGAAAATCAATTATTTTGCTGACGAAGCCGACGAAACCTTGTTCATTGTTCTGAACTTGACCTTTTTTTCACACGTATGTTTTGGCGGGCTTTAACGTTACAGCAATGGTAGCTTTGAACTTCGATTTGAAACATAGTCCTAGCTCGTTCAACCTTACCCACTGATAAAAGTTTCGATCCGATGGCAACCAAATTAATTAAATAAAAAAACAAAGTATACAAACGGCTGTTGCAATACAGCACCATACCACTGCACGTTCTCAGCTTCTTGAAGTACTTGCATAGTACATAATCTTTTATAATAACTTTACTTAAAGATTATAATAGTGGGTTATTTTAAAAGTTTTATTTTGGTTTATGCAATTATAAGCATCAGAATGCTCTTTAAAAAAAATGTTGCATAATATTGAATGCGTTTAAACACCGGTAACAAATAAATGTTCTTAAACTAAAATAATTTCGAGTAAAAACTGTAATTACAAAAACCCGCCATTTGTTCTTCAACACATTTTTTTTTCCAAAACCATAGACGTAGGCGAAGAACTATTAGTTAAACCATTTTATTACTGTTGCATCAACACTGTTACAAACTTTCGCATTAATATTCATATCGTTAAAAAATCAATTATTCAGAAATTCCTTTTTTAAATTTCCGTACGTCTTTATTGATGAATCATTAGCAAAAAGTACCGAACTTTTTTTAATAAATTCAGTTCAATATCCAAAAAAATAGTCAAATATGAGTGGATAGTAGTAGTAGATTTGCTCATTGTTCGTCAAAAACGCGGATTACTAACATGCTGCGTTGTTGGAGCACGAAATGTTTTATTTAACGTGACTCATTATATTATTATTGAAATCATGTCAGCCAATCGGATTGAATTCTCAACTTCATCGTCAAACAGATGATATAATATGTTATTTACCATCAATTTTTCCTCGGTGACAGTGCGCGCAGCGCCATGGTGCTTATCAGGGTTGATAAAGTTGCTCTGGGTCATGGCATGGCCGTTTACTCAGTCCCGATTACCACTTTTTCACTTACACACTGTCCACAACAATGAACACTTGTTTAACACGCAATTGTTTTAGGAGCCAAAAATCTTCAACTGTTTTTCTTACTATAATTTGTTTCACCCTGGCAGATATAATAATAGTAAAATCCTACTCATTAATCCAGGAATTTAGAACTTACGATAAAAATGAGATCTAATTTTTATTACGCTCTATACAGGGCGCTGACTTAAACTTATTCTTTTCAATTTGTCAGTATTCTCTATAGACTTAAAATCAGATACATATATATTTCCTAAATCCGTGTGAAAACCACTAAAAATATACAATCACAACAATAACAGAACGTGAAAGGCGCCTGTACTAAGAAAATAAGACCTTAGGTCTTATTTTATTAGTCCAGGTGCCTTCCGTGACACGACATGACCCATTTCATGTGTAGCAAGAAAAAAACGCGTAATTAATACTCCTAATTACTATCCTAAAAGTAGCAGATGCCATCCGAAAATTATATTTCGTGTTACACTATTTGCTTTTCTGTACAACATTTCGACACGTGCACAATCAATTCATAAATTTAACAGATAAGAACTCCGATGGCATCTCTACTATAGTTACCCCGCTTTTGTTTTACAATATTTCAAAATCTTCAACTTGCAAACATGTGACAGGGTTAAATAGCCGAGTAATGGTACACTGGTTCCACCCTGACGGCTTCACATGGACTGAACGATGGTCAAAATACAACCTTCGCTTTGGGCGGTCGCTGGGGCAACACTTAATCACCACAAATAAAACTTTCATGCGCAAACAACTCAGCATGCTATTAATCTGCGTTTAACCCTAAAGATGGGCAAATATCTACTCATATTAACCCACTGTTTATAGGTATTTTGAAATACTGAATTGAATACTCAGTTGCATTTTTAGTAGGAATTTTACTATTATTGATTTTTCAACTAAAAATGTTTTTCCAAAGTTTAATCGAGGTAGTAAAGTAGAGTAGCCATAGGTTCATAAATATACATTTATAAAAGATGAATATCTGCATTATTATTACTTTTTAACGAATATTATCGTTGTAACCGCTATTTTCATTTTTTTATTTTTCATTATCAATAGTCGGAAAAAGGTGTTCCACATATATAGATCCAAGTGTAGATATAGCTACAAGGAGCGACATGGAGTTGTTAAAACCACTAAATGTAATTAATTACTTTTTCTAATTCTGGATTTCCGGATGAAAGAAACTCCTCCCTTTATTGTATATAAAAACATAAACAGCCGTGCACGGGTAAGGCCGTCAAAAATGTCACTTTTTCATCAATGAAAGATAACATTTTTATGAAGAGGCTGCATGGTAAAACCTTTGCCTACCCAAATGGGTAAAAATTTAAAAAAAAATGGCACTTTTTATTCTTGTTATTTATAAAAAGTGTTACAATAATCTAGCGTGAACACTTTCCTTTAAAAATACGACATTTTTGCTAGTGGTTCGAATTTATGAACATCTTTAATATTGTGTTTTTGAATTTAAATAAAATATTTTTACAGCGCGATCACAACAATCCTCATGCAAACTAAAATGTCCTAAAATTCCCCTCGTAAATTAAATTTTATATTTTTTTTCTTAAGTTGTACTAGCAAATGTCGCCGTTACGTCAATATGACCGTCCATATGCGGTATCTATAGCTAGGAAGGGGTGGAGAGTGACCATTTTTATTCCTTGTTTTGGTAAAAGGACAGTTATCTACTGCATTTTTTATATGGCTACATTAGAATTACTTTAAAATCCAACTTCGACTTCCTAGGTTAGTAGTTTTGTCCTACGATGTAAGACAAACCATTCGAAACAGTAATATGTTTCGAATTCCGGATTTCCGGAACCAAATAGTAATTAATTATAATTAATATTTGGTTGCTTTAACAACTGTGTGTCGCTCCTTGTAACTGTATCTATATTTTATGTGGAACACCTTTTTCCGATCATTGGTCATCTGCAGCGAGCAGCCCATGATTGATAGGTAAACAAGCTCTTTGCGGGCAACATTGCGAACGAAGGAACCAAAAAAATATCATAATATAAATTATCAACTCAAATTCTTTTATTTTTTTTCCATCCTCTAAGACTCAAAGACTTAATTTATAGATACCTATCGTTGTATCAACCCGAAAAGTCATTCCTTACTGACAAATGTTTCAGTTATTTGTCACTGTCAGTAACATATGTCTACAACTACAATGAATACAAAATAACGGAATCGAATATTTTATTCATTGTTTTGTAGTAACTATACCAAAATCATTATCCTTTGTCCCCAATTTTATAAAATTGAAAGTATAAATTACTTTAAAAACGTGTTGTAAGAGTTATAATAACCTGTGGATAACCGAGAAAACACGGGGACTAGGAGCACTGGACCCTCTACGAGTGAAGTGAGATGATGGTTCATTTCAGAACAGACTGACAACAGACAAAATCAACATTAAAACATCTGAAATAAATTCCGGAACCCGGATACGCATAGAAAGCTAAACAAAAGTCGAGAATATTCCAATAAAAACCGATTGTTGTATGTGTAAATCAATAATCGGAATGGTTCACTGAAAACATCAACAATGGCCAGAGATGAAATTGAAAATGAATGATTGCCCATTACGTATCCAATTAAATAAATAACGGATCCAATAGAAAGTCATGGTCCATAATTTAGTTACTTGAGATGTGCAATGACACGGTATAAGGTAAAGAGTGGTTTAAATTAGTTTACTAAACCAATTCAGTCCGTACAGTTGTATTAATCATAATGGATAACAACAACGAGCAAACGTAAGTGGAATTAAATACAATTCATGTAGGTACGGACACGGCACGTCAGACTACACATTTTTGTTCGAATATCACCTCCATTGCAATGGAACAAGATACGTCAATGTGTAGCTTGATGTGCTGGCGTGTGTACATATATCCGAATGTTTAGAAATAACGAATTAACGAAAGTTTGACATTAAAACGAAATAGTTGAGAGAGCCATAAAAAATAATTAACTAGTGATTAGTGATGTACTCCGTTTCGCGACTTTTTTTCAATAACAATACAATAATTTTTTTAAAGGCGCCTTCAAATTAGATGCTTGTAGAAGCACTCCAGTGGCGCGTCTGTGGCGCTTTTGTGGCGCGTTTGTGGCGCTTTTGTGGCGCGTTTGTGGTGCGTTTGTGGCGCGTTTGTGGCACGTTTGTGTAGCTTTTGTGGAGCGATGGCGCGTTTGTGGCGCGATTGTGGATCTTTTGTGGAGCGTCTATGGCGCGTCTGTGGCGTGCCTATGGCGTTTTTTAATTTTCATACAATACCTAGATATTATCAATACAATATCAATATCTGCAAAAGAGGCGCGCGCGTGGCGCGGGTGTGGCGCTACGGCTGTGCTTCTAAATATTGTATGAAAATTAGTAGTAGCCAGAGATGAGCAGTGGGTTAACACCCAATCAACCCGTCCGGGTTTGACCGGGTTTTTACCGTAATCGCCGATAAAATCAAGGTCAGAAACGGCAAGCAGGGAATTTGGTATAATTCCATACTTATTACAAATTGCGATGTAAAAAATCTTTTTTAGACGAAAAAGGGGAAACCTCCACCCAATACCTTCCAATCCTGTGGATTCTCACTACTAAGGATTTGTAATACATTTTATAATAACATCATTAAATTTGAACAAAACTCGATTAACAACAAATATTTATTTGCAAATGGGTTTAACCCGATTTAAACCTTTCACCTTATTAACCTTATTAACAAATCGCCCGGGTTATAACCCGTGTGCTTGCCCATCACTGGTAGCGGCGCGGTTACAGCGCCACAGACACACCACTGCAGCGTTTCTTCAAACGTCTAATTCGAAGGCGCCCTTATAAGGAAGTGCATATTGTAAAATATACCTACTTAATAAAGCTTTAGAAGCTTGTTCGTTCAATGTTTTGTATCCTACAGTGGTTACAAGATAGAAAGAAAACCTGATTGGTACTTCGGAGGACTCGCGGGCGCCGGAGCGTCGATGTTTACCCATCCTCTGGACCTGATCAAGGTGCACATGCAGACGAGAAAGGATAAACGTGTCTCTACCTTAGACGTTGCTAAGGAGGTAGTTGCCAAAGAAGGTGAAGAGAAGGAAATACATAAACGTGCTTTTCATTGGGATTACCAATGTTTTTGGTGTTTTTTTTTTTACAAGAGACAAGAAAATGTCACATAATTGCTACACAAAGCTTTTGCAAGAATGAGGTAATTCTTGCAAAAGCCTTGTGTAGCAATTTATCAATGGGGTACGACGTGATTCTAGTTTCATTATAACTAATGTAATTCCAGGATTTTTACAATGGCTCAACGGTAAGGGAATTAGTGACCGTTAATAACCGGTCAATAATTCCGTTCCAACTTCACAATCGCTTCGCATTTTCTTTTATAATGCCAACTGACGGGACGAACAAGCCGTGCGCCTGGTGGTAAGCGACACGCTTATCTATAATAGTTGCAGTGCTGCGCAAAGCTTTCAATCGTCTTAGGGGCACTGCCACTGTGCCAGTCGCCCTGAGGCGTAAGTTGACAAGTCCCATGTGCCTGTAATTTCACAAGGGTGAGCCCTATCACGATTTATTAAAAGAGGACAAATTACATGGTATCTGTCAGTTTAAGTACCTACATAGATGAGATGTGGGATTACGTCAAAATACTGAGAACACAATTGGCATATTTTTCGTCTTCTAAGGTATTTTCTTTAGTCTATTTCATCCACACGCAAAATAGGCGCCTTGTCGTCGAGTTGCGGATACCTGCCCGTTGCACCAAGTACCAAGTAGTCTATTTCATAGACTTTTTATAGCAGAAGATCTCCTTGTGAAAGACGTCTAGGGAAGTACTGCCCCCTTACCTACCTATTTCTGCCGCCAAGTAGTAATGTCAACATTACTGCGTTCCGGTTTTGAAAGGTGAGGGTGCTGGTGAAATTACAGGCACATGGGACTTGTCAACTTATGTTTCAGGATGGCCGACGCAGTGACAATGTCCCCAATATCTTTGCGATGTAAAGCTATAAGTGGCACTGCAATTGTTATGTACAGGCGTTTAGCTTACCATCAGGCGCACGGATTGTTCGTCCCTTCACTAGATATTATAAAAAAAAATACAACTGTCATGATTTATCTTCAAACCTATTCACAGGTTCTTTGGGCCTCTACAATGGCTTATCGGCGTCAGTCTTACGTCAATTGACATACTCAACTGCAAGGTTTGGTGTGTACGAGTACATGAAAACGCAGCTTGCTTCCGGTGTAAGTCTTTACCTACTTCAAGTCTCAAAAAGGGACCACTTTTCACTAAACAGACATGTCGCATTAAGAGCGCGTTCCCATTATGTGATGACGACAGTAGTCGTGCAGTTTAAAGTGTCATGGCTTGTATATTTAAATGAAGTTGTTCGCATAGGTACAACACGATTAATTGTCGTTCACGACTTTCTTGACGTTACGACGACAGACTGTCGGTCAACGATAAAATAAACGTCTACGACATAGTCACAACAGATAGTCATGATATGCGAACAGGCTAGACGCGACAGTCGTTCAACGATAAATAAAACGTTACGACGTAATGGGAACGCGCCGTAAGGGTTTTTTGACACTTTTTTTTCTTTGTTGACACTTTAAGACGTCATTGGCGTACCAGCCAAGAATATAAGACACTTTAAAGCGTCCACGGCGGTAAAAGGGTTAAGCTCATTGTCTGCCAAAACGAAACGGTGACAAGAGTATTTCGGAATCTCCACGCCGCTAATGGAAATATCGAAGCACTGGTTCCTGAAATACAGTATTCTTTGTTCCGCCTTGTTAGATAATTAGCATAGTACCTACGTACGACATGTCCAGCTAGTTCTACAAATTGTAGGTAATTAGCGTACGTCATTTGTATATATAGTTCCACTACATGCAGATAATAATCTTTACTTTCTTAAAAACATGATCTCTTAAACAGGAGGAGACGATCATCTTTAGTTACAGGTTTTATGTTACGTAAACCAACTTAAAAAAAAAACAATATCACATATTTCAAAACTTGACATTTTGCAGAGTGTACAAAAAGTAATATTTCCGCTTAGAGCAAATAAGATTTCTGCCCCCTCTATTTTCACTATTATAATAGTAATTGGTTCGGGCAGTCTCGACTCGATTGTGTTTTCATGTTCGCCTGCCGTCGCCACCTTTGTGTTATTCAGGATATCGTTTTCTCAAATAATGGCATTTATTTTCTAAATTTCTGTAATAAAAATAATTTTGACTGTCGGCCGCGATGGCCCCCACTGCTGTGCCGCCCAGGGCCATGGTCCCCTCTGCACCCCCCACACTACGCCACTGTACTTGTCGCGTCCTTTATGCTCTAAGTATTTCCGTAAACAATAAATAGCCTATTCTTCTGGTATCCTTGGCCCGATCATTTTTCTTTTAACCGAACAATAAATTTCCCTTTCAGCCCAATGTCACGTTACTACAGTCATTAGGAATGGCAGGTGTAGCTGGAGTCGCTGGTTCAATTGTGGGCAACCCAGCGGATCTCATAAACGTACGAATGCAAAATGATATAAAACTTCCTAAGGAACAGAGAAGAGCGTACGTCCGAAAAATTCCATAATACCTTATCAATTTACATTATCCATTGTATTCTTAATAATACGAAGTGATGGGACGAACAAGTCGTGCACCTGTCCATAGCAGTTGCAGTGCCACTCAGAGCTTTAAAAACAAAGATCTGAGGGGCACTGCCACCGCGCCCGTTACCCTGTTAACAAGCCCATGTACCGGTAATTGCACCGCACCCTTATCTTTCAAAACCGGAACGTAGGTACATTAGAAAGAAAGAAAGATAGAAACGTTTAATCAGCCTATTAAGACCGCTTCATTAGGTACGATCGCTTCATTAGGACCGCTTCCGACTAAAATACTACGCGAGTAAGTCCCGTTACTTTTATATTATAAAGCTTATTAAGACTATATACAGAGCAAAACAAAACAAATTGATGATTACAAAAAGCTGAAACGGATACAAATCAACATATATCATAGCTCGCCTGCTGTATCTCTGGTTATCAGTTAGGTACTGCTTGGCGGCAGAAACAGCCACTTCAGCCATAGCCCCTTCTGATTGTCACTTTTGTGCAAAATTCTTTGAATGGATACGACATTGATAACGAAAAGACTATGAAACGGTAATTAGTAAATTTACCAGGCCAGAGCAACATGAATTCTTTTATGTTTCCGCAGTCTGCCGACCGAATATACATATAGATCCTAAATTTATTTTTACTTTACTCACTCGCTTTTCTGCCTATTAAGTAATAAGTGAAAAGTGAAAAATTACACCAAACACCCTCTAACCTTCCATGTATATAAATTACCCCCAAATTCCTGACTGTGTCCAAATACGGAATACGAACGCCATCGAAAATCACAGGTGGTAATGAATTAAGGTCAACACGAAATACAACCTGACCAAGGTCCTTGACAACTTTTACTTGAGAGCCATGTGCCCATCCCGATACTTGGACTAGCCGCCTCTGTCCCACGTGATGCGGAGCAGTATTCCAAGATTTCCGGATTTTCTCGTACTCACTGAACCCTTCCGACCACTAACCCTGTAAGTAATTTTAAATGAACTCTACTCCTTCTGGGAGAACAATTACCTAAATATCAGCGGTAATCGAGCTACCTACGTACAGTATATTGCGCGTTGCGCTGAAAAGCTAAAAAAACAAATCTCTTTAGTTATAGACACGCTTTCCATGGTCTGTACTCAGTCGCATCGAAGGAGGGTGTTACGACTTTGTGGACAGGAACGGCAGTAAACGCAATGCGCTCAGCTCCCATGAACATAGGACAAATCACTTTCTACGCTCAATGTAAAAAACTGATGCTTAGCACGGGCTATTTTGGGGACAATGTAGTAACCCATATCTTGAGCAGTATAACCGCAGTGAGTATCGACGCTAAAATAGCTAAAACTAAACATTAAAGGTGCTGTAAGCGCATTTACGCACTGTAACCGATTCGTATTCATTCCAAATCCGAGACTATACAAATATAGAAAATTCGGACCCACTTCGGATGGCGCTTGTGCACTAAGTCCGATTCGTTTGTACATCTAAAGATAAAATGATCCCTGTGGCATTTCGGAGCGTCATTTCTCGGATTACGGATACGAACCGGATATAGCGCACAAACGCTCTAAGATAAAGTGGTGATTTGGGATGGTGGAGAAAATGTAACCTGGGTGACTAACAAGCACAAATTTAAAAAGCTTTTGATGGAAGTGTTAACAAAGGTGGACCTCAACGTAGGTAGGTACAACAAAGTGGTCGAGATCCTCAAAAAAGTACCAAAAGTAACAGTGCGCTCTTCCGAGCGCTGACGCATGCCAAGATTAAACGCAAAAGGAGGTATCGAAAAAAAAACAAGATCTTAGCAAGTCCACTATGCAGGCACAATAATGTCCACTTGACGATCGACGATGGGTCGATGTGATGAGATGAGATCGACGAAGATGAGAAATGAGAGGCGAACTTTAATGTTACGATCTTTGTATATAAGCCATAGTTCAAGCAGCAACATATTACGTAACAACTTTAAAGCTCAAAAGCATTTCAAAAGGCTATTTTGTTACAGGCTGTTGTAGCTACAGCATTAACTCTTCCTATAGACGTGGTAAAAACTAGGACAATGAATGCGAAGCCAGGGGAACCTACTGGGATTGCTACACTAGTAGCCAAAACTGCAAGCGAAGGTCCTTTGGCTTTCTTTAAAGGATTTATGCCATCTTTAATAAGAATGATACCACAAACCGTTCTAACATTTGTATTCTTTGAACAATTAACAAAATACTTTGGTGTGATTGTACGAACTCCAGTTAAATAAAAGTCAAAAATAATAACAACAATTTGTTTTATATTTTGATAATTTTTATACTTTTTTTTATTTATTACGAATGTTATTTTTGTTGTTATTTTACAATTTGCAATGAGCAAAATGTAACCCTGCCGAAAACAAGTATTCCCACAATTAAATAAAGACACGCCTATTCGTAACAGTTACTGTGTCACTCAGAGCTTTAAATCGCAAAGATCTTAGGGGCACTGCCACTGCGCTCGTCACCCTGAGACATAAGTTGACAAGTCCCACGTGCCTGTAATTTCACCACTCTTACCCTTCCAAACCAGAATGCAGTAATGCTTACATTACTGCTTGGCGGCTGAAATGGGTAAGGTGGCAGTACGAACTCTTTCAAAAGGAGCTACTCGTAGTGACCAATTGCTGTAAGAGGGCATTGATAATCATGAAAATTCGTTCCTCTTTTCATGGTTATCAATGACACACCGAATAGTATGTACGAGGAGGGTGAAAATCCCTTTAAGATGATTTATAAGTAACACAAGTAGGTTCCTCTTTTTTTTGTAAGCCCCGCACTAGGGAAACCCTGCATCGCGGGTGCCATGGACACACAGATAGACAACCACAAATTACACCCAAACTTACGAGAGAAATAGATCGAGAGGAATCGATCCCGAGACCTCTGCGTGGTAACCGTTCGGCCACTGAGGCAGTTTTACTCACTTTATTATACGGATAAAACATAAGCACGAAATTTTTGATACCAAAGTACAATAGGTACTTAATTTGGAAGCACGGAAGTACTCCCTCGTCAAAGTCGAAAAATCACGACTGTGCATCCTTTCTTCGAAGCAGCACTTTTCAGTCGACAGCTGCAGATGCACAAAACATTATTTGTAAATAAAGGTTTGTCTATAGATTAGATACTTAATTGAATGTAGAGTCAAAGGACAAGGACCGCCAGACTATTGACTCTACATGAGATTGATGTTTTTCACGGGCGTAAAGTACAAGTAGAGTGATATATAAAACTGTATGCAGTACTCGTAGGTATACTCTAAAAAGCATATTTGAACGTGTCGCGAATGTACTTATGTAAAATATTAGGCGAAATACAACGATATCATGTAGGTACTAGCGTGGAATATCAATCCCTTATGAAGAGCAGCAGTCTTGCTTATTTTTAATTTTTCTTTTTCCACTGTTCTCAACACATTCGCGCTAGAAGAATTTTACAATTGAATAATCAAGTTTTGGCATTATTGCCATTAGGCAAATGGCGGGTTTTTGTGGCCGTTTCCTCATGCTCCTACTGGGTGCTACTACTAGTAGGAACACGAGGACTAATATGTCCCTATGCTCCTATCGTCACGTCATGTCCTTATGCTCCTATCGTGATGTCGTATCTAATAACTACACTCAACTAGAATAAAAAATATCAAAATTAAAAAATCTAAAATGTGTTTATTTCATAGGTAAGGAGAAAATTACAATTGAAATCGTCACTTTGCGCTTTTTCGTAAGGCAGATTCACCTGAGAAGAATGATCAAAAAACTGTAGGGGTTGCTCTTTAAAATTAATATAACTTATGACTTATATATATTAGACAACATCACATATATCGCTCTGATCCCAAAGTAAGTAACTAAAGCATTTGTGTTATGGAAATCGGAAACAACAACAGTACCACAAACACGAGACCAGACCCGAGACAATATAGAAAAGTTAATTTTCTACACTGACCCGGCCGGGGATCAAACCAGGGACCTCAGAGATGACAACACCATGAAAACCAGTGTGCAAGCCACTCGACCACGGAGACCGTCTAAATATAGTAATTTAAATGTACATACAGAAGCAGCCTGAAAGAGTTAAACGGATCACTACTACCATGCATTTTTGTCATCCAAGTACCTACGCAAAAATTGTATATTAATCTTTAGTATAAAGTTTTTCTTTTGCTATAATTTTAAACCTCGTAAATGACAAAGTTTGAAAATCAACCGGAATCTTATTACATGCGTAGATAGAAGCGTATACATTATTGCCCCTTAAATGAATTTGTGAAGACGGATATCAAGAACAACTACTTTATTTTTATTCCACTTATTAATGTTAATAAAAATGTCACTATTTTTCATAAAGAAACTATTACTATTCTTCTTCTTATCTTTCAAAGACACTCAGAAGCCCAGATCGAGGACATACACACATCAAAAAAAGTTTGCGATCAATAGCATAAGCTCCTATAATTCTTTAAATTTAACTTTATCAAGAAAAAATCTATGTTGTATGCTTTCTTTAAATAGGAATACCCTGTTTAAAATTAAAATATAAAACTATTTTTTATTATTTATTTTAAAAAATTGAGCCATTAATCATAATGTAATAGTGATAGAAATTTCATAGAAAGAAAAAGACTGTTTAATTAAACTTAAACCACAATTTATTATTAAAAGGTGTGAATTCAATATAAAATAACTCCTCCCCTGGCTCGAATACATGCGAAGATCCTCCTGGGCATGCTGAGGATCAAGTTATCCAGCATTTCCTGGGGTAACCTATCCCATTCTTCAATAGCGGCTTCCCTGAGCTCTGGAACTGTCTGGGGACGTGGCTCACGGTTCCATACTGCTCGTTTAAGAGCATCCCACGCGTGCTCTATTGGGTTTAAGTCGGGCGAGCCGGCAGGCCAGTCTAATCGTGTGATATCGTATTCTTGAAGAGCAGCATTGACTCGTTGAGCTCGATGTGCGGGCGCATTATCATCGACCGGTACAAATTGGTGCCCATGGTTTACTCGGAATGGTCTGACGATATCATCAATAGCAACTGCTTTGTACATGTCTGCTGTCATGAAGCCCCGATACGGGATCAAAGGCGTTCTAGCTCCAATCATAATGCCACCCCAAAAGGACACCGATTTTCCGCCTTGCTGAACTGTTCCAGTGGCAGTTCTTTGTCTTTCACGGTCGCCTGGTCTTCTCCAGACACGGACACGTCGGTTATCTGGATGAGTGCTGATTCGGGATTCGTCAACGAAGAGACAGTTTTGCCAAATGTTTTCGTCCTCACCTTCTTCATTTTGCCGAAGTCTAGCCCACTGCAATCTTCGTTGTTGACGTTGCCGGGAATTGAGCGGAGCTCGCCAAGACCTCCGTGCTCGTAATCCAGCCTGGTGCAAGCAATTGCGAACGGTCTGCGTGCTAACTTCAAGCCCAGAGGCGGCCCTGACTTCTGCTTTTATTTTAGTGGCGTTGATTGTTGGATCACGGGCTGCCAGCAATCTAATATAGCGCTTTTGGGCAGCTGTCAAAACAGTTGGGCGACCGCTGCGGGGTCGGTCAGCTAAATTCCCCATTCCGTGATACCTCTGCAACGTAGCCACGACACAGGATTGGGATATAGCAAGTCTGCGTGCTATTACTCTCGTGGTGTATCCTTCTTCCCTCAAAGTTACTATTCTAGCTCGTAAAACCTCTGATAATCCTCTTGGCATTTTTTCAATCACAACTTTCCGCGAAAAATATCTTGAATCGCTTATAATTGACTAAATCAGATTTCTGAATGAGCGTAAGCTAGGACTGAAAGCCTTTTTATATGAAAAAACAATTGAACGGGGTCATTGTTTTATGTTCTAATTTATTTTTAAATAAAGAATCTAAAAAGAAGAAAAAATCATAATATAATCTACAGTAACAAAAAAGATTTCAGTTTTTCGAAGTGATCGCAAACTTTTTTTGATGTGTGTACCTACATTAATTTATTACACCTTATATATTATTAATCTGAACTAATGACTAGTTTATGTAAATGTTGCTGATTATCTGTTGAGTTCAATACATACTGCTATTTTAGTTTGTCAGATACCAGCTGCATGGACGGTAGAAAAATTGTGAAAAGATATTTGATGATGATACGATTGAACTTAACAACTTATTTCTGTTTTACAGTATGTTACTGTACACTCCACGTAACCCGTACTGTGCCATGCACTGAGGAATCGGGCGGAATTACCTCGTGGACCTGCGAGGCAGTGTGTCAACACTTATTAGGTTGCGGTGCCCACACGTGTACCGCCCATTGCCACCCTCCACCCTGTCCCAAGTGCCCCCTGCTGCCTGAGACCACCACCACTTGCCCTTGTGGCAAGACCAGGTAAGTACATGTAGCTGGTAACTTGTTACCAGCGGTTGGAATGAGCTGTTCCAAATGAGTACATAAATATCTATAGTCGTGTCTTTTTTGAAGACCGAATAAAATTACATTTGCAGGGTAGTCAGATTTCATAAAATTTTAAATAGTCATGTAGTTGTTAGTGTTGTGTTGTGTATCGATAGATTGTGAAAGAAGGTAAAATTTTGCCAAGAATATCTGAATTGTGAATAAGGGCGCGTTCCAATTACGTCGTAACGTTTTATTTATCGTAGGACGACTGTCGCGTCTAGTCTGTTCCCATATCACGACTATCTGTCGCGACTGTGTCGTGAACGATTATTTTATCGTTGAACGACTGTCGTGTCTAGCTGTTCCCACCAGAACGTGACGACAATTTTTCGGCAGCCGCCTTGTCGTTTGCTGCACTGCAGTCGCTTCTATTTTCTTTTGGAAGCCAATAGTGTGTGTTCGCTCCCATGTGAAATAGATGAAGTTAAAATTTTAATAATGTTTTACTTATCGAGTTCTTAGGTTTTCGCGATTGTTACACATATGAAATGAAACTATTTTTCCGGATTTAAATCGCCCGAAATGTCGGTTTGTTTAAAAAACAAATATAGGCGATTTAAACCCGGAAAAATAGTTTCATTTTCAATGTTTTACTTTTTAAAAAGGCGGAAGAAAAAGCAAACGAACAAAAGAAAGTTTTGGGTACATCCAATATTATTAAAAAGAATTCCATTAGGATTATGTCAAACGTTTAAATGAAAAGTGATGAGAGAAAGTTATATTTTGTAATAATATGTATAGTTAAATTTGAAGAAAACCCAATTCACAACAAATATTTAGTTGTAAATAGTTATTGCCCTCGATTTGGGGCATATTAACCGATTTAAACCCAGCATTAACAAAGCACCGGGTTAAAACCCGGACGTTTGCCCATTTCTGGCTACGACCCAACACTTGTGCAAAGCTAGCGGAGGGCGCGGGGTACAGGAGGGGAGAGTAGGGAGCAGAACACGTGCAAACAACGATCAATAAAACGTGACGACAATAGTAGCAGCGACTATCTGTCGTCACGTTTTAATCGTGACTTTTTTGTCGTCAGACGACTATCGTTCTGACTTTTCCCATTGTCACGACAGTCTGTCGTCGTAACGACAAAAAAGTCGTGAACGGCATTTATATGTGAACAACTTCACTTAAATATACAAGGTACGACACTGTAAACTGCACGACATAATGGGAACGCGCTCTTATACGACGGTCTACTGATTACTAATTGCGTTATTGCCTTCTTTATTCTTATTTTGACAGTTGGCCTACTAGTATCGAAATCAATGTTTGTTCATATATATTTTAATAAGATCAGGCGGATTTGATTATCCATATTGAATTAAAATGAAAAACTAAAATGTGTCTCCTCTTTATATTTTCAATAGACATAGCACGTATGAACTTACAAAAATTAACAATTCAGATAAACCTGTGCCCAGCAGTTGAGCAGGCAATGGGCTGATGATGATTCAAATGAAACAAGGTCGGCTATTTATTGTATAAGTGTAATCAACATTCTGTCGATAGTCGAGAATATTTTATCGACTGCAATCACTAGCTGCTTGCAAGTGGGCAACACTTTTGCGCAATGAACTGTCATTTTACTCCATCTTCAAAAAAGACAATTAATCTACATACAAGGAGTGACACAGAGCGGTACAACCACCAAAAAATTAATTACCTTTTTCGAATTTCCGATTTCTGGTAAACAGGTTAACTGCACATCGTAAGATAAAACTTCTCATCTAAGTAGGTGAAGGTAGATTCTAGTGGCACTATTTAACAAAATGCAGTAGATAACTAACATTTCACCAAAGTGAACAATTTTTATGACCTATAATTATGTACATAATTGTGTTTACCTCGGTCACTCGTGTGTGCTCCTTTCTGATGTCTAGTGAATAGTTTATTTCGACCTTCGCTTGTTTTATATCTGGCGCTTGTCGACGTCGGATCGGTGTCAAATTTTCTCCGCCTATTCTTATTTTTAACCGACTTCAAAAAAAGGAGAGGGTTATTCGTGTAATTGTATATATGTTTTATGTATGTTTTCCGATTTCGCCATCAATTGTGGATCGATTTTGAAAATTCTTTTTTTTTGGTCGAAAGGGTATACTCTCGAGGTGGTCCCCTGATGCCGACGATGGTGTTCGTTTCGGCTATCACAAAATAGAAGTCGACTTTTCACTTGACACAATACATGTAACCAACAAATCACCGTCACCATGAACACAAGAAGTCAAAATCTGATGAGGGGATCCCATGGAATTCGATAAAAGCCGATAAACAACTTTTGATGTCGGTTTTTATTTTCAATGAAAAAGTTACAATTATGTTCATCGTGACGCCAGGATTGACCCACACCTTACCTCCTTAAGTCTATGTTCGCGTTGAAAGAATTCGCCTTAAAAACGAATTACCATTTACAGACTTGATAAAGGTGCGCGTAAGGCGTGCACAGATCCGATTCCCCTGTGCGGCAACATTTGCGCCAAGCCTCTGCCGTGCGGTCCGGCCAGTGACCGCCATTTCTGCAAACTCAACTGTCATGAAGGTAGGCCTTCTATAATTATGTCCTTTTAGGGAGTCAACACACCTATCGGCACGGAATTTTAAATGTGGCTGAACGGTTACCATGCTGCATGCCAAGTTCCGGGTTCGATTCTCGGGCCGGGAGGAATATTTGTATGGCCTACATTTATTTCTCTCGTCAGTTTGGGTGTAATTTGTGGTTGTCTATGTGTTTCTCTAGTACGAGCCTATGAGTGTGTGCGTTATTATTTATTATTATTATTAATTGCACTAAGCTGGTCAGAAAAAGCTTTGGTAGCAGTAGAGCTCCTTGTGAATGAATTCGTCCAGGGAAGTACTGTCACCTTACCTATTTCTGCAGCCAAGCATTAATGTGAGCATTGCTGCATTCCGGTTTTGAAGGGTAAGGGTGCTGGTGAAATTATATGCACATGGGACTTGTCAACTTATGTCTCAGTGTGACGGACGCCGTGGCACTGTTATGGGCAGGTGTGTCGCTTACCACCAGGCGCATGACTTGTCCGTCCCGTCACTTGATATCATAAAAAAAAACTAAAGGCAATGTACCGTATTTATTTAAAAAGGAGACTTTTTAAATTTTTTGTATTTGGCTATCTCGATTTGGCTGTATTATTTGACAAGCCCAATGATTAGGCCCGGGTTCCGGGTTACCGGGTTCGATTCCCGGTAGGACCAACTTTAGAAATTAACTTTTCTAAAACTTTTCTAAATTTTCTCCGTCCGACATTTCCGTCCGAAACAATTCCTGTTAAATAAGTAGTTCTATACGGTACGTAATCTGACCAAATTAGAAGACGCATAATGCGAATGAAGCTTCTCATACTTAATATTGTCTTTTCATTTTTTTTCGAGTATTACTTATTTGACAGTAAATGTTAGGACGGAAAAAGAGAGTAGACCTCCTGATCCATGTCTTCTGGGTAGCACCCCGGAGTTCCGTAGCTCTGGTACTCATAGAATAGGGAATTCCCTAGTTTGAGACCAGGCAATTGATCTGGTTGTCTGACGCAATATTATTATTTTCTTTGATTGTAAATGTACTTGTAACAATGGTTTTTTTATTTTATTTGCGAAGGCAAGTGTCCCGTGTGTCCCGAAAAGACAGTGGTGCAATGTCGTTGCGGGCATTCGAGCCGCGAGGTGCCCTGCGCTAAGTTACCGGATCTGTTAAACAACGTGCTTTGCCAAAAGAAATGTAACAAGGTAAGTTCATAAATTTGTTTTGAAACATTCCTTTTTTGTTAATATTTATTATACTCTGTGAGAAGTTGCTATTTTGTTGTGAATTTGATAAGATTATAAGTGGATTTAGCAGTAGAGCTTCTTGTGAAAGAGTTCGCCCAGGGAAGTACTGCCTTACCTCACCTATTTCTGCTGCCAAGCAGTAATGTGAGCATTACTGTGTTCCGGTTTTGAAGGGTAAGGGTGCTGGTGAAATTACAGACACATGGGACTTGTCAATTTATGTCTCAGAGTGACATTTGAAAGTTCTGAGTGGCAATGCAACTGTTATGGACAAGCGTGAAGCGTACATTCCTTCGACACGGCTGAAATTAATCATGGATTTTTTCGCCAAACCGGGGCTATCGCTCTCATAACTGATCTACGAAACGAGTTAGCCGACAAAAGTTATCTAGTTTCGGTTTTTTATAATACGGAATTGAGAAGCTGTTTCGTAAACGTACTCTAGTTTGCGTAATCACTGGCGTGCTGGTGAATTTACAGGCACATGGGACTTGTCAACTTATGCCTCAGGGAGTCTGGCGCAGTGGCAGTGCCTCTGAGATCTTTGTGGTTTGTGTGGCTTACCACCAAGCACGCGACGTGCTCGTCCCTTCACTTAATATAATAAATAAATTAGATATTTATTGTACAGAACCCAAACAAACCTACTGTGAACTGGCAATCAGTACTATCTCAATTTTGATAACTTTACAGGATGAAGAAAACATCATTTACATAGCATCTGGTTTATTAAATAAAAATACGTAGTTTTTAAATATTTTTATTACACATGTATGTATGTACACTACGTATTTTTGTTTAAGAGGGAGCAGAGGAAAAATTCCTAATCTTCGATTTGATTTTAGAGGGGTATATACACTTTAAAGTTAAAAATAAAATATTGTATGAGTAACTACACGATATATTTAAGCATAGACATTAATAAGAAACATAAAACATTAAAGTTTCCTCGATAGATAAAAATCACGAAATGACCTCTAATTTTCACATTTTTTCGATTTATCCTCGAAATACTACAGGTTATTAGGACAAAAATTAGATAATTAATTATATTTATGTATGATCGACAATATATTTATTTATTTATATACATATATTTGTTACACAAATTTGGGCGGAGCCAACGTCAAAACTTTTTTGTCATGAGAGCTCTTAATAAACCAAATGCTATGTAAATGATTTTTTCTTCATCCTGTAAAGTTGTCAAAATTAAGATAGTACCGGTTGCCAGTTCACAATCGCTATATAGGTTTAAGAGTGTGAAGCAAACAAGTAATATTTGTTTAATAATATTTGTTTAATAATTGAATAAATCAACTTCTAAGGTGTAGACCTCCTCCAGTTCATGCCATCTTTCGCGATCTTGAGCAATTTCTAACCACAATGTTCCCGCCAGTGCTTTGATATCGTCGTTCCAACGCATCTGTGGTCCTCTAGGGCTTTTCCCGCCCAGTGGTCTCCATTCAATCTGTTGATAGAAAACCAACGTATTCCCTGATGTTCCTAACTCTTGCCTCCTAACTTATTTATATTTAGGTGTATTTACTTATAGCTTTTATATGATAATGTATATATCACACGTGTATTGTAAATGTGTAGTGTGGCATAAAGCAGATGATACACAGAGCATGTACCATTTCCTTAGGTCTCAGCCGACGCTGAAACAGGAACGACTGAAAATCAGCGTCTGTCTCGCCCGAGATAGACATATTGCTGAGTCGTATCCTTTTCTTATTTTGTGCCACTGTACATACTTACTAACTTGCCATTTGTTGCTTTATTATTAAGTATTAGATTTAAGTGTGTAAAGTGACTCAAACAATAAACGTTTTTCTTTCTTTCTTTCATTCTACCACTGCCTTGCACCAAGAGCCTTTGACATGGCCAGCCCACTCCCCATTTCAATTTCGCAGCCCGTTTAGTCACATCGCTCACTTTACATTGCTCTCTGACCCATTTGTTTCTTTTACGGTCTTTTAGTGTAACTCCCTTAAATTGTTTAGACAAAATAAATGCAATAATTGTGTATGAAACTGCTGCTTTGTATTGTGACTACCTTGATGGTACAGAAACTGTCGTGCGGCCGTCACAAGTGCCGCGACGTGTGCTGCGCAAGCTCAACGCACCGCTGCGGCGTAGTGTGTGGCCGCACGCTTTCCTGCCAGCTACATCGCTGCGAAGAGTTCTGCCACACCGGGCATTGTGCACCTTGCCCGCAACTTAGTGAGTACAATACTACTGCAATTTCTTTTTGATATATATAAAAACGTAAACTGATTTGTTTGTTAAAAGTTTGACTAATAACACCGATTCAAGATTTTTTAAATAGCTCGCACTAGGGAAACCCTGTATCGCAACTCTGTGCTATGGACACACACATAGACAATCACAAATTACACCCAAAGTCACGAGAGAAATAGATACATCTATTTCTTACATTGCTCTCTGACCCTGAGAAATAGAAACATCTATTTCTCCCGGCCCGGGAATTGCATCTGGGACCTCTGTGTGGCAGTCCAGAATGGTAACCGTTCGGCCACAGAGGCAGATTCAAGATTTAAAAGGACTTGTCAGCTTTAATTGTTGACAATTTAGGCGTATATTTATGGTGTACAATTATATATTCTAATCTAGAACGTATACGTAAAGGCCTACACACACTTAACGCTTGGATTCAAAAGTGGGATCTGATTTTAGCCTCATACAGCAAAGTATACTTTATAAAACAAAATATATAATTGAACCGAATTGCTGTGCGTCTAGGCCGAGGTGTAACAGCCCAACCGGAGCGGTATATACATACATACCGCTGTATGTATAACATAGTTTCCCAAAGTGGTCCGCCCTCCAGTGGGCGCTGAAGAGTCCTAAAGGTAGGGCCGTTCGAAGCAATTGAGGGGCGTTGCTGCTATCCAGGGCGTACATTGAAAAAAAAAATGAATTATCTATGTAAATTCCACTACAAATATATACTCCCGGACACATAATTCGATTCATCTTGCGTTTTTCCCTTAAAGGGCTAGAATACAAAAATAGTGTTATCATCGAAGAGAAAGGTTTCCCCCGGTTTTGCGAGTCCAAATTCCCAACAAGGACTTATGGAAAAGACTTTAAATATACTAATTTCAAAATTGCGTAACATAGCTTGCTTGATCAACCGAACATTGTTTAAGCTTAGGGCATTTAATACTGATGCGAGGTGGCTCGAATTATGTGTCCGGGAGTGTCTATTGTTTTGTGTTATGTTGATATAAAAAATACGTGTTTTTAATTATTTTTTGTCGTGGTGGGCGATGAAATTTTTTTATCTTGCTTAAGTGGGGGGTGAGACAAAAAGTTTGGGAACTTATGATGTATAAGAAGACTTTAAAGTTTGTGACTAAAGCATAATTTGTATAGTGTTTAAATTCGAGACCTCAAGGGCAGCCGAAACGTTAACAAGGCTACGTTAATCTAGTTCCTATCTTCTTATAGTTATGGTTGATTTCGCCATAAAACGTGGGATTTTTAGCGATGTCTAAATGTTAGTACCCTAATCTCAATCTTTTAATCTTTATTAAAATATTATTATTATAGAAGATTAGCATATGGCGGATAAAGAAAAAAATAAGAAAATAAAATTTATTGACTTAACTTAATCTAGGTTACATGAAAATACTTGTGTCAGAAGCCACGGCTCATCCAATCCGGTACAATTATTACTTAGAATATGTGCTGATCTTATTTTGTGTTGACTAATGAAAATTAAAAATTGACTATGTGCGTGCGTGCGTGTGGTAGTAATTTAACTCCTTGCTGACTACTACTTTTTTAACCTTTTTAATCATTCAGAAAGTTACTGTTTCTTAAGGGTGATTTTAATTTTTGTGTTTAATTTATTCACTGATCACCAGGTTTCGAAGAACTGACATGCGAATGTGGCGCCGAAGTGATTCTTCCCCCCGTCCGATGCGGGACCAAGCCCCCCGCGTGCAACGCCCCGTGCCAGCGCACACGGCCCTGTGGGCATCCTCCGCATCATTCCTGCCATTCGGGAGACTGTCCCCCTTGCGTAGTGCTTACTACTAAAATGTGTCATGGGCAACATGAGGTAAGATCACATTTTTTATTTATAATATCAAGTGACGGGACGAACAAGTCGTGCGCCTGATAATAAGCTATACGCCTGTCCATAACAGTTGCAGTGCCACTCAAAACTTTAAATCGCAAAGATCTGAGGGGCACTGCCACTGCGCCCATCACCCTGAGACATAAGTTGACAAGTCACATGCGCCTCCAATTTCACCAGCACCTCTAACTCTACTTCTACTAAATATCACATGATATGAGGTTGTAAATGTTTGGATTGTCACTTCTACCATGCACCCTGTTTTAAATAGTGAGAATGTTCTTGATTTTATTAAGGTTATTTTGTAAATGTCGTCGCATCGTGATTATGCAAACTAGAGTACGTTAACGAAACAGCTTCTCAATTCCGTATTATAAAAAACCGAAATAGATACTTTCGTAGTTTCGTAGATCATTTATGAGAGCGATAGCGCGGGTTTGGCGAAAAAATCCATGATTAATTTCAGCCGTGTCGAAGGAATGTTCCTTTGTGTGTTTTCAGTGGAATTTTCTTATAAGAGATCTTAAATTCGATATGACCTTTCTTTCTCTTCAATATGTTGTAGGAGCGCAAGACAATACCGTGTTCTCAAGAGGAGTTTTCATGCGGGCTACCATGCGGCAAGCCACTGCCTTGTGGCAAACACACCTGCATCAAGACCTGTCATAAGGGACCTTGTGACACCGGCAAGTGAGTATAGACCGTTATTTGTGGAAAGGCGGGCAATTGGAACTACGCCATCTTGTTCAATAGAAATGTTGGCGAAACGTTGGCATCGTTTATTGAATAACTTATTGTACAAAGGAATAACTAAACACTAATTATGCGAATTAATATAAAATATAACACATATACCTGAACTAGGAGAATCCTGTATTTCGGATAAAAAGTACTAATGATGGATATATGATTAAATTATAAACAAAAAATAATGAAACAATAAAATGCAAATCATATACCTACACGCTTAAATTAGACAACAATATGTTGGCATAATTAATAAATTCTCTGTATCGTCTTAGGACATATTTTGAAGGAATTATTGGAGAATTTCCTTAACCTTTATGTAATAAAAATGATATACGGCCAATTCGGCGTTTAATTTATTGTCCAAAAATTGCCCAAGCAACATAAAAAATACACACTCACACTCAACATAGCCCCGCACTAGGGAAACCCTGTGTCGCGGGTGCCATGGACACACACATAGGCAACCACAAATTACACCCAAACTCACGAGAGAAATAAATGTAGGCCATACAAATATTTCTCCCGGCCCGGTAATCGAAACCTCTGCGTGGTAGTCCGGTGGTAACCGTTCGGCCACGGAGGCAGTTAAACATAAAAAATAGTGGTCGGTTTTTGAAGTTGCATAGCCGTATAACGCCTCATAACATCCATCGGTCCACTGTGACAGGTGCACGCAACCGTGCAACGAGAAGCGTCCCAGCTGCGGGCACCCGTGCGCAGCGGCGTGCCACCTGGGCACAGCCAGCAGCTGCCCCAGCACAGCGCCTTGTCGCAGACTCGTCCGCGCCACGTGTCCTTGTGGGCGACGCAGCGCCGACCGCGCTTGCGCTGATAACGCTAGAGATCTCGCCAGGTGGGTGACCACCCTTATTTAGCCATGTCAACATTAGACAACATCACAATCGACCCCTCCTACGTAAAGTATCGTATGTCGAATTTGCCAAGTGTACAGGGGAGCGTTTAAAAGTTTTGCATTCACTGGAATGAGCATAACACGTGACTTTAGCACTTCTCAGTTTTATTCGGCAAAGAGACTCTCACATAGAGTATTAGAAAATCCTAGATATCGGCTAGATGAACAACCACAATTTATTTTATTATTTTATACTAATAATATACCGAGATCTAAGTCAAAAAGCGGGTAAACTAAAGTGGGACTGGGCGAGTCGGGTGACAGTAAAATATAAAATAAATTGTGGTTGTTCATCTAACCGATATCTAGGATTCAGAAATGCCAAAGTCACGCGATATGCTCATTTCAGTGATTTCAAAACTTAAAACGCTTCTCTGTAAACTTGGCAATTGCGACATACGATTCTTTACGTAGGAGGAGTACGCTACTCTGATCCCAAAGTAAGTAGCTAAAACGCTTGTGTTATGGAAATCAGAAGTAACGACGGTACCACAAAATACCCAGACCTGCGGGGTGATTCACGTAGTTAAACCGTTACGATATCGTAGCGATTTAGACGTTGAACTGCTTTTTTTTGGATTCACGTGTGACAGTGAACGTTGACGAGTCTAATTTTAAAGTCGTTCGATCCAAATGTCGTTAAAGCGTATTCTGGTCTATGTATCGAACTTAAACCGACTCTAAACGACAAGTTATACGAATTCTGCTAAAATTTTGACAGTTCTTTCAATAGACTTTCCACGACTAAATGTCAAATTTCACAATCCAAGATGTCATTCATTAGTCGTTACGTTTCGATTCTACTCATATCAACGTTCGTTCAAGTGATACGGTGAATACCCATTTTGGATAGGACGTCGATCGAACGACTACGTAACTTCAACGATATTTTGATAGCTTGAACTTACGTGAATCGCACTACTGAGAGAATATAGAAAAAATAGTTTCTACATTGACCCGGCCGGGAATCGAACCCGGAACCTCAGAGATGGCGACACCATGAGAACCGGTGTGCAAGATCACAGAGATCGTCAATGTAGCAAATAAATTGCTGTTTTTAAATTTTCTTTTCCGACTTTTGTTCCACAGAAGTGCTGACTGTGGAATCTGATCTAACATTTTACCAACAGACAGCAAACTTAGATAAGAGTTAAAAAGTGCTATATGTGTTGAAAGACCTTATATGTTTTGTGTCGCACAATAACTCCAAATTTTCAGCTGTTATATACACAATAATACTAGAATATTTGGAATTTTCAAGATTGATAAATATCAATCATTATACCATTAATCCATTATACCTTCCACTACTGGACACGGGTTTCCTCTAAGTCGAGGGTTTAATTAAACCTCAATTTATATTGCGGTGGAACGAAATGGAAGCGAATTTTTATAACGATATTGTATATACCATTATATACTTTATGGTCAATTGTGTAACGTACAAACTAGATACGAGCCGAAAATCACGTCACGCGTCTACCGCGACATTCTCGCGCGTTCGCGAGAATTCTGCAGCGGCCGTCGTCGACGCTTGGCGACTCCGCGGGAAATAGCGCGAAAGCAGGCGCAGCTGACGTCTAACGTCGACTAAATACTATAACCTCGAGCCGCAGTCGCGAGAAACCTCGCATAGCGAGGCGAAATTGACGCTTCGTTCTGTAAATTGAGCCTTAGTCATACTCCGCCACCTTGATTCAATACGGCTTCAAAACTGCTAGCTGATCAACGCCACCTTGATTCAATACGGCTTCAAAACTGCTAGCTGATCAAAACGGCTATGTATATCAGTTTCGTCTGACCTGGAACAACTGTGCTGTGTGTACCTTGCCAACGATGCATTTTGTTTGCTTAAAATGTCTAAAATACATATATTTTTTTCAGAATAATGTCTGCGCTAGCAGCTACCAATATCCAAGAAGGTGGTTCCGTTGATCTGTCGGACGTGCAACGCCCGGGAGCTATGCTCAAAACGTAAAGTATTTTCGTTCGTCTAGATCAGAGGTTTCTAAACATTTTTTGTCTCGTAGATCACGTGCCAATTTTTTCTGTTTTGCGTAGACCTGTCAAGTGAGCTATATGACCCTATCTGTAGTTCAGTTGGTTGAGCCGTTGACGACCACGCACAGGAGGCCTACTGCTGTTTTCCGTCCGACATTCATCCGATACAATTCCTACCAAATAATTAATACTAGCAGTAGAGCTCCTTGTGAAAGAGTTCGTCCAGGGAAGTACTGCCACATTACCTATTTCTGCCGCCAAGCAGCAATGTCAGCATTACTGTGTTCCGGCTTTGAAGGGTAAGGGTGGTGGTGAAATTACAGGCACATAGGATATGTCAACTTATGTCTCAGAGTGACATGTGAAAGTTGTGAGTGGCAATGCAACTGTTATGGACAAGCGCACGACTTGTCCGTCCTGTCTCTTGATATTATGAAAAAATACTAGATCAAATTACACGCATGATGAGAATGAAGCTTCATACTTGACGTTGTTTTTAATTTTGTTCGAGTTTTTCTTATTTGACAGTAGTTGAGGGGCACTGCGCCCATCACACAGACATAAGTTGACAAGTCCCATATGCCTGTAATTTCACCAGCTATCTTACCCTTCAAAACCGGAACACAGGGGCCTTACCATGAACTCTTTGAACTCCATGAAATCGTTGTGAGACAGCGCTACGTAAAGTGTATATCACTATCCCGTTTTTTGTCGTTACGAACCTTTACTGAACTGTAATAAGAGTTCATGGTAAGGCCCCAGTAATGCTTACGTTACTGCTTGGCGACAGAAATAGGTAAGATGGCAGTACTTCCCTGGACGAACTCTTTCTCAAAGAGCTCTACTGCTACAAATCTTTTTCAACGAAGGATTCCTTGTTCTGCAAATTTTTCTTTGTTTACAATGAAGACTATTTATATTTTCTGTTACTTAACAGACTGGAGTGCGACGACGAATGCCGCATAGAAGCACGAAACCGTCAATTAGCTCTAGCACTACAAATACGAAACCCAGACGTGTCCGCAAAACTGGCGCCGCGATACAGCGAACACGTGCGCGCAATCGCCACTAAAGAACCTTCCTTCGCTCAGCAAGTCCACGACAAGCTGACTGAACTTGTACAGCTGGCTAAAAAGGTATGACTTTCATAGCTGCATACGTAACGTATACTAATCTAAACGCGCTGAATAGTATACTCTCGTAAGTGTTTAATACACAGTCAACCAATTAGAGGGCCTGCATTATTTGCAAAAGCGATGCGAAGCGGTTACCCGGTGACTTTTAGCAGGGATGCATACGCGATGTAGTCGCTAATCATCTACCTTTACACACGCGGGCGATTTTAAGCACCTATACGAACAAACGCGCGACGGCATTAATGCCTATAAATCCCAAGTGCAGCTATGCAATCGCGCATTTGTATTGATGCAATCGCGCGTTTGCATCGATGCGCGCGATCGCCTATAAATCGCAAGTGTAGCAATGCAATCGCGCGTTTCACAAACGCGCGTTAGCATCGCTGCTAATAGTGTGTGTAACCACTTTAAAAGAGCAATTGATTGGTATCCACGACTATTTACTATCACCGTGTTTAAATTACTGGCTGACTTATTAAATCCATGTGTCGTCGTCGATCACTGTGTCGCTTAATATCAGGCTAGAATTGTCTAAGCGTGTGGCTCAATTTATATTACGGCGGTGCCAAAATCTGCCGCGAAATGCGCGGAGGACATGCGCGAGACGTTTGTGCTATGTTACATAAATTCGCTCCGCAATGTAAATTGAGCCTTAGTCTATTTTACATTGAAAAGAACCTGTATGCCACGCGAGTGTAAGTCCGTTTCTCTAAATTCTTTCATAATACGATACCGTGCTTTTAAATGGACGATAAACTTTAATTATCGATGACCTTGAATAATTCCCACTTTTAAAAATGTACTTGTTTGACTGTAACATTTTTTTGCAGTCGAAACAAAAGACGCGTTCGCACTCGTTCCCTTCGATGAACTGGCAGAAGCGGCAGTTCATTCACGAGTTGTGCGAGCAGTTCGGCTGCGAGAGCGTCGCCTACGACGCTGAGCCTAATAGGAACGTTGTCGCCACAGCTGATAGAGAGAAGGTGGGGTATTTTTCATTATTATCCAATACTTTTTCGTCCCACCACATCCCAGCTTACAGAATTGGACGTAGTTAAGCAAAAAGGATCCAATCCACAAAATTATCAAAAAATGAGTTTTATGTACCAAACGGTTCGTAAAGTGCAACCTCTTAGATCAGCAAAAAAAACCAACATATAAACATAAATAAATATCTCTGGAATTACATAATATCATAAGTTTTGAAAACAAAATCAAGAGTGAGAAATATTTTTAAACTTCAAACTGCCATATATCGAAAGTGACTGAATGTGCATTGGATCCTTTTTATTTAACTAAGTCAAATTGTTCTATGAATGCTGTTTAAAGTAAATAAGTATTTTACGTATGCAGCCATAGTAGTTAATGGAAGGCATCATGTATATAACCAGAAATAGAGACGAAATGTCATTTAATTTGTTTGAAAACTAGTCTGCCAAATCATTACGTCACAGTACTGCGTAATATTTAATTACAGATGAAATGCGATTCCGTTTGTTTTGTAATTAGTTGTATTGCTATTTTTCCCTCCCTGCCGAATGTTTCCCAGCCCCCGTTGTTTATAGATATTACCTTTAAATACAAAATATTTTTGGATATACGGAGACGTACACACAGGTTAGTTGTTGGCGCTGTACTATTTCAGCTTTCTAATTTGTGATTTCAGCGCAAACGAGAGTTGATATTTAAAAGTGGTCTAAGGCCAGTGGCCATTTACCTGATGAGTTGCCAGAGATGGTTGGTCTTTATTTGTTATTTCTGGTTATATATTCGATGATGGAAGGTTTCAATTTTTTAAAATACCTTATTATAATTCGTCCGCATGTCGATGGAAAGACGAACTAGACGCGCACTTAAAAGATTGGAACTCAGTGGTGCAGAATAGAGAGGTGTGGAGAGAGGTCTTTACCCATCAGTGGGACAGTATGGGCTTTAAAAAAGTTATATATATATATATATGTATAACATATCTATATGTGTATTAATAAACAATAACAGTCTTTACTTTATTTTGCACGATATGCAAAATGTGGAATTACTTCATATACAGGTTATTTGTAAAATACAAACAACTAGTGTAGTAATTTAACAAAAAATTATTGAACATCAATACAATCAAAATTTAATTACTGTTAATAGCGACATATTGTAGCCAGGGCTGGTAACTGTAAAGATATCTAACTGGGTGACGAAATATTTCTTTTCTTTTTATAAAATATAAGTGCTCATTTGACCTCCATCTCACCTGATGAAAAGTGACGATGAGGTCGACGATGGAGCATGCACACCTAAATAATGCTTATTCACTCTCGCCTTAATAATAATAATAATAATAATAATAATCTTTATTTTCTCCACAAAGTTGTTCAAAAAGTGCACATACATTATGTTATAGGCAAACAATCTTTGCAGAGACTGGTGCCCGAACTAGGTTGATCCTGTATTTCGGGTCGCCAGGCCTCTACCTCCGTAAATAATAATAATAATTACAATAACAGTATATGTATACACATATATGTATACAGTATATGTATGCAAAGAACTAGAAGTTGGTCAGACAATAATAATAAAGACTACTTAAACAATTAGTTATGCTAAATTATGCAATAGGAACAAAAATAAAGTGTATGTGTGTGTGTGCGTGTGAGTATGTGTATGTGTGTGTGTGTGTATGTGTGTGTGAGTATCCACGTTTAACTAAGCTATTACTTCAATAAGTTTTTCTGTTTCAGTGTAGTTTAGTCCTAGGAGCCATTTTGTCACAGCTTTCTTGCATTCGTATTTATTTAGCGGATATATTTTCAGATTTAAATTTGCTTTATTATATAAGTACGATCCTAAGAAGGTAAAAAACCGGTTAATGAAGGCAGTATGAAACGACTTTTTAGGGCACACTATATCATATCGTCTCCTACTACAGGTTAGGTTCGCATCATAAACGATTAATGAATGCTTTTTTAATATTATATGTAATATAAATAATTGGCGTATGGATAATACTTGCCATGATTTGTACAGGTCCGCTGTAGGGTGGAGTGTAGGCTTAAAAGTAGCTACCTTGAGAATACAGCGTTGTGCTCGCTCAATCTTGATTAGATGCGATTTTGCAGCACCACCCCAAGAAGTTACACAATATATAAATAAGCATTGACAGAGTGCATAATACACCATCTTAATGATGTCAAAGTCTGCTATATTTCTAAGGGTTTTGAAAATGTATATTAACTTCCTAGTGCGCGCCGCAAGTTCTGAGATGTGAGAAATGAAGTTTAAGTTTTGATCAAGAGTGATACCTAAATATTTAGTAAATGGAACTCTTTCAAGGCAGGGACAAGAACAAGCAATAACGTGTGGACTTGGACAATGATGAGGTTTTAGATTGAGGTTGCCGTGAGGAGCATTTGCGTTACGAATTGAGAACGATATATACTTAGTTTTGTTGGCATTAATTGTGAGGAAATTAGAATTGAGCCATTCCACAGCTGCATTTAATCCATTTTGGGCCAATCCAAACGTTTCTTCCCAAGTTTTAGCACAAAAAATGAGAGCTGTGTCGTCGGCAAAAGATAACGTTTTACCATTTGGCAGATTAATACGACAGAGATCATCTATAAAGACCAGAAATAGGGTTGGACCAAGTATACTTCCTTGAGGAATTCCATGGACAATGCTTGCTTCAGAACTCGAGTAATCATCTATTTTTGTGCATTGTGTTCTATTAGTCAGGTAAGACTCAAAAAGTTTTAATTGTACATCTCTTACCCCAAAACGCTGAAGTTTAGATAACAAGGTAGATATAGAGACCGTATCGAATGCCTTCGCGAGATCTAGAAATATCGATAGACATTTCATACCCCTATCCAGATTCTCGGCCACATAATTTGTGAGATCATGGACAGCATCTCCAGTAGACTTACCAGCACGAAACCCGTACTGTTGGTTAGAGAGTAGTTTATTATTTTCCAAGAAATTAATAAGTCTACTGTTCATCATGCGTTCAAGAATCTTAGACAGGGAAGGCAGGATGGAAATTGGACGATAATTATTCACACAGTCTCTACTACCAGACTTAAACACAGGCCGAATCAGGGATTTCTTAAAAACGTCCGGAAAAATTCCAGTATTTATACTAAGGCGACAGATATGTGTGATGGCCGGAATAAGGATATGCTTGAAGCTCTTAATAAACTTGGATGAAATACCATCCCAGCCAACTGCACAGTCGTTTCTTAAGCCCATTATCAGTCTTTCGACTTCCTCTTCGTCAGGGTCCAGTAAAACAAACGAATTAATGTTACTTGAGCAATTAGAAAGGAGAAGGTCGCTACTCAAATTATGATTTTTTAGGCGAATGTTCTCGGCTAAATCTTTACCAATATTGGCAAAGTAAAAATTTACTTCGTTTACCGCTTCTTCTGGAGAATTAGCCTGGGTAAGAAGGGGTTTGGCTGAGGCAACGGATTTGTTGCTGTAGGTTTGCTCTTTTATTATTTTCCATAGCTTTTTATTATTATGACCTGCTTTTTTAATTTCACATTTTTGAAAGTCCTTTTTCAAACGTTTTAATATATTAGTACAGTAGTTTCTGTATCTACGGTACGTTGTTTTTAGTATAGTATTATCAGGTGTCAACTTCAGTTTTTTATGCATATTATCCCGGTTTCTTATGCAGCGCAAGAGTCCAACGGTTATCCAAGGCTTGATAGTTCTATTTCGTCGGGATAACCTGAGAATACGAGTATTAGATACTAAAGCATGTGAGAGGAGATTTACCAAAACATTCGCGGCTATGTTAGGGTCATTGGCTTCCAAAACATATTTAAAATCCATGTTCGCCATTTCATTTTCCAATGCAATCTCGTCTATTTTAGAAATTTGATGAGTAGCATGAACAGGTTGTTTTATATCAATACATAGTACGATGGCGTCATGATCAGTTATTGCTGAGTGAACAACGACAGTCTCAATACGTTTCTTTGTTTTAACAATGGCATGATCCAAACAAGCGTTATACCTTGTTGGCAACGAGTGTGTTGGAAGCATCCCATGGCATGCCAGTAAATTAAGATATTCCTCTGCGTGATCGTTGACGTTTTTTGGTGAAATATCTATATTTATATCACCGGTGATAATGACAGTATTAAATGATGACAACGCCATCAGTACCAAATCTAAGGAGTGTAAAAATCTTTGGACGTTGTGTTTGAAACAATGCGGCCTATAAATTGCCACAATGGCAGTATGTGAGGAAATTTTTATCACCAAGCAATTTGCTTCATCCAAAGTTGGCTCCTCAATTGTACATTTAACTGAATTTTTCACATATACTATCACACCATCATTTTGATTGTAGTTATCTGTAGTGCAGTGCGAGTGATAATCATCCAAAAGAGGCATATAATTTCTTTGAGACAGCCAACACTCAGTCAGTATTATGAACTGGAAATCTAATTTTATACGAGTGAGGAGCGTAGTTAGACCATCAAAGTTGCGATGGACGCTCCGGATGTTTTGACACAAAATATTGGTGTGTCCAAGGGGATGATTCAATGGGGACTTCACCTCTTCTGCTGTACAGATTCTAGCTACGGGATAAGAGAAACTATCCAAGTTATATAATAATTCATTTATATCTGCGAATTTTATTTATTTATATTTAATATGGGTGGAACAGTACTGACTCGAATGTAATACTCATTTAATATACATGACGAATGCATAGTGTGGAATGTTCGTTTAAAAAAGTCCCATACCATAATATCTACATGGCTTTTGGTGGATTTTGGCGTGATATTTATTGGAGTAATATGTAGCGATTGTATTCGGTTAGTGTACAGTAAAATTAGTTTTTTATATTGCGATGTGTGTAGGTAATGTATTGCATGTGTAATGAATGGCAGTATAAAAATATATTGTGTTGTGTTTTTATTGAATGGTGTGTGATAAGTGAATATATGTTTTATGTTTATACAATTTAGGATGACTGTTAATCTTACAAACGAAAATAGTCACAATTTTTTTTTCAGCACGTTGATATCTTCTTCGCTTCTAATAAGGATTGCTATGTCACCCTCAGCCTTACGTAGATAAACGTTTCCTCCAGCTGTCCAACAGTATTTGAAACCACCTGATTGAGCCATATCTTTAGCAAGAAAATGTAAGCGTCGAGCTTTAGGTGTTAGTCGCTCAGAGATATAGATACGCGTGTCCTTACTTTCGAATCCAAGGTGGTTTGAATGAAGTTGTCCGCTTTTGTTGAATGACTTTGCAGCCTCAAGTACTTTGCTCTTGGTCAAGGTGTTACCGAGTTCAACTATCAACGATGAGCATTTCTGGTCTTTTTTGTTAGGTACACGAAATATGTCGCGAATCTCTTGCGTCTGGATATTAATTTTCAGGGTATCGGTGAGTCTTCCAAAGTAGCCATAAAGGTCAGTATTTTTCTCACCTCTAATTTTGGGGACATTTCTAATTTCTATTGAGGTCTTATAAAGATTTTTATGTAACATATCACATTTATCATTGATGACGTTAATCCTGGATGATAATTCTTTTCGCTCCTCTTCCATCATAATTATTTTATTTTGTACAAATTCAATTCTGGCAGATACATCAGAGACGGATTTCTCGATCTCAGTGTTCAAAGTCTTAATAGAATTATTCTGGTCTTTAATGTGTGATATATGGTTTTCTATTTCCCCCAAACGATGGTTCTGGTTTGCTTCAAATTTTTGAAACATTTTCATCATTTCATCGCGAAAAAGAAGTAAGACATCAGTCTGATCCATGTCTTCCGACTCCGACATACGACGCCTTTTTTTATCTCTTTGGGTAGTACAGCTGGACCCCGATGCCAATTCAGGATTAGAAGCTGACATCGATTCGTTACTCTGAGGTGATCGCAAGACGTTCGGCATCTTTGTTTTTGACGCGAGAGTAGTAGGCAAGCAGCAATAACGAGGAGTTACTATAGCGAAGGCTGAATGAGGGAATAAGACGTAGTTTTGGAGTGTCGCAGTTATAGTCGATTCTTTCGCACTAGTAAAAGACTTTAAGGCGATAGTGTCATATGGGTCTCGTTCTTTTGATATCGATCGGCAACTGCATACAAATTTGCTTTCCGTCTAATATAACTTGAGCCTTCTGGTATATTATTATGAGAGTAGGTAGGTGGAATTAAAATTTGCATTAGACAACAGCGATGTCCACGCATCCGAGTGCGAGAGGTGATTATTAGTTGATTCGCTTCCACTAATGTAGTGATCCACAGCGTTTTTCCATATGGGTCATGCTAATTGGGCACCGATCGATGAATTCATACAGAATTTCTTTCCGTCAAATATAACTTGACCCTTCTGACGCAGGTAAGTAAATTCAAATAACTCACATGCTTGCAGTGGCGGTGTGTGTGTCTGCTCGCACAAAACAATCGTTAGCGATAAACTCCTTAATACTATTGTGCTCCTAATATTCACAACTAATTTTTGCTTACTAAAATTGTATTTTATAATTTTAATAAATTTTAAAAGGGATTATTAACCAATGCGTCTGAACAACTCAGAGGTCCGGAGGGGAGAGCAAAGACCCAAGTTATAACGTTTCGGGAACAAGTCTGCAGGCAGGGAATTCCACTTCATAGCCGTTCGCCATATAAATGTGAAAGCGTGGTCACAACATAGGGGTGGAACCGAAGCCTACGCCTAGTCTCCCGGTGATGGAAAGGGGAAGGCGGAATCAAATCGTGTAATTCCATTGCACATTCTCCGTGATATTATATCCTGTAAAATACCGATAAGCAGGCAACTTTACGGCGGTGTTCAAGGTTCTGCAACTTCGCCTCCACTAATTCCGAGTCACCTATAAGCCTCTTGGCACGGTTGTCAATTACCAAATCCAAAGTGGCCAGTTGATATGTCGCAGAGCCATCCTAAAGGTGGCAGCAGTACTCCATGCACGATCGGACTTGTGCTTGGTACAGCTGAAGCAACTGTCCCGGTGTAAAGTAACGCCTCACCCTGGAAAGGATACCAAGCTTCCTTGCTGCATTTTTGGCCATGGATTCAATGTATCTGCCGAAGTTCAAATTGGACGGCAGGTCCATTCCAAATAGCTGGAGACAGTCAGCTATCGGTATGGATATATCACGAAAAGTCGTAGTCAGCTCAAAAGAACTCCGTTTTATGGAGAATAGACACGCCTGCGTTTTGGTAGCGTTAAATTTGACAAGATTAGCAAGCACATAGAAGAATTCGTGAGGTCAGCTGGTTCGTTCCGTTACTTAGTTGGGCACTGTGTCTGGCACGGTTTGCTAGGAGACGTCGGTTCTAATCCACCGGATCGAAGAATTTTTTGTAAGCGTTCGATAATAATTAATAATTATATCATATTATTATATTGTATTAAAGAAATTAGGAACCACAATAAAACACCGATAATATAATACTACATTTAGTTTATTCGCCTATATATATGTTATGCTAACTTCGAAAGCCGCACGGACGGATTGCGGCGGGCGGGACAATACACAATACGTATAAACACGGGATCGCGCACGCGTGAACTGAACTTAGGCGGAGATCTGTCGCTGGCGCACGCCGCGGTGCGCATGCGTAGGGAGTATTACATGTCTCATGGAGTGGCTGCGCGCGCAAAATTGTCCTTATAATTATACTGTCTGACACTTTTTAAGTCTGCATTTGGTAGTAAGTTGTTTAGCAATGTCTGTCATTCATAAAAATAATTTTGGTGGTGAGTGCTTTCTTTTGCTACCGCACAGAGTTATCTCCGTTTAGAGTGATTTTTTTTTAATAATATCCAAGTATGACGGGACGAACAAGTCGTGCGTCTGATGGTAAGCTACACGTCTGTCCTTTCCTGTCAAAACCGTTGCAGTGCCACTCAGAGCTTTAAATCGCAAATATCTGAGGGGGCACTGCCACTGCGCTCGTCACCCTGAGACATAAGTTATTAATGTCTGTAATTTCATCAGCACCGTTACCCTTCAAAACCGGATCGCAGTATGTAAGTAAAATCTGATGAACTATTAAAAGTCCTGGAACAAAAGATGTTGTTTGTAATGTTAGTAATATACTCCAGCGCGGTTGTTAGTATTTTGGAAATAACCCTGTATAAATGTGCATGCTCCACATATCAAATGCGCACTTATTTTGGCTATAAACAAGTATGACCATAAATGGAAATATCCTTTCTTATATCCAATGTCCACTAAAGCTTGTATACGGAAGTAAAAGTATATACAGATTAAGAATAATATTTCGTGATTTGAATGCGCGCTATGATGGCCAAGCTTGTAAGTGATCGTGATTGTGCGGTGTTCCAGTCGTGGCTGCCGGCCATGAGCGTGCTGGAGGTGCTGGGCCGCGAGGCGGGCAAGCGCCGCGTGCCGCCGCCCGTGTTGCGCGCCCTGCCTGCGCAGGCGCAGACCAGCGCCAAGTGAGTCTTTTTTCATTCCTTCTTATCTATCACAAAATGAGGCTATTAGCTGCAAAAGAGGTGTAATATTTTTTTTTTTCTACAATATTATTTTAAATGATACTAAAGTCCATATTTATATTTGCATGAAAATCGTGTATAATTTTTTTAAAATAATAATTATAATAATGCTTTATTGATAGCCATTACAAACACTTTAGAAATAATACAGTAATTATTAGTTAGTGATTGATTGCGTCGGGCAACATCCAGACCCTAAAAAGAATAATGAAATTTCATAACATATTCTAAGCAACATCTTTAACCTTTAGATCGTCTGGCGGCTGGGCGACGCTAACGTCCACAAACGCGTGGGCGGCGCGCAGCAACAAGCCTACATCCACAGCGACACCGGCGCCGGCGCAGCCCGAAAAGATCGATTACTTCGACAACCCACCCGACAACTAACGGTATTGATTTAACGGAAACATTGTATGGATTGCTCCAGAAACTAGATAATTATTTGTATCCTTCGGAGAGAGTTCGCTCAACAACTAGATAATTATCCAATTAATTGTATTCTACAAAGATATTGGTTTAGGTGATTCAACAAGTAGATTATTAAACAATTACTTATTGTGTTCTATGAAATCTTTGGATCAACTGACATAACGACCACATAATTGTGTCCTACTGAAATTGGACCAGTTGACTATGGGAGTCACCAAAGTTATTAACGCGAACGCAATTCGTGTTGATGCGATAATTAATTGTCGCATTAAGCCGATTTGCCGTTAAAGCGGCCGTTCGCGTGCCGTCGCGCTAAATGTTCCTAAATAAGGCCCTGTACTCTCGTTCTACGTCGGACATCTGTCCGAAACAATTACTGTCAAATAAGTACTTCATACTTGAATTCATCTTTTAATTTGATCGAATTCAATTGTGGTCAAATTTTTCATTGGCCGATTGTAATATCGCAACCCTCATGGAAGAATGGCATAAGTGGAGTTGCGTCAAACATTGCTCCATTAGATACAGGAAAATATAACCCACATGCTCTCCAATTCTCGTAACTCTATCTACAATAATACTCGATAGAATATTTGTGGGTATTTCTGTATCTAATAGAGTAGTAGTGCGATATAATTAATAACTTTAAATTTATTTTCGAAACTTAACAAAAAACATTTTAACACTGACAATTACTTTAAAAGTTTAATCGAGTTTCGGACGGATGTTGGACGGAGAACGAGATTAGTCCCCAGGATCAGTCGTCGTCGGCATGCGTACTGTTAGACCGGAAATTCGCAGGAAGCCGATTCGTTGCCGACCTGTGGCGAGCCGCGTTCGTACGAACCGATGCGAAACGCACGTCTTTTTTCGCTTTTACGTTCCTGGACATAAAGCTTTTTGTGATCGGGTTAATGCGATTCTGCATTAATAAGTGTCATGACTCCCTAAAGGCTTATATTAATATTACCGTAATGTAAAAACATTGCTTCGATTGGAATTTGAATTCTATACTTAATTATGAAGAACGGTGATGTACAGACGATGTCTAAAGATACCAGACCCCTTAGCCGACCTTTTGATTCTGGAGCCTTATGCATTCAACAGAAAAATGTAAAGGAATTCCAGATTTTTGGTGGAAATTTGTATTTATGTTATAGAATTAAAGAATATTGCCTTTAAGAAATTCTTAAAATATCATTCACTACGGTCTGTCTTTTTTGAAGACGGAGTAAAGTGACATCTGTAGGGTTGCCAGTTTTCAAAAAATTTTAATTAGTTATGTAGTTGTTGTCGATAGATTGTGAAAGAAAATATAATTTTGCCATAAATGATTGAATTGTGAATGTTACGTAAGTGCGTTATTGCCATCTTTATTTTTATTTGGTCAGTTGACTTACTAGTATCGAAATAAATTTTTATTCATATACATTTTAACAAGAATATCCGGATTTGATTATTTATATTGAATTAAAAACAAAATCTTTCAAATATATCTCCTTTATTGTATTTTTCAAAAACATAGTTCAAAATACAATGTATGAACTTACAAAAATTGACAATTCAAATCAACGTGTGCTCAGTAATTGGTTCAATAACAGGTCGAGGATGATTCAAATGAAACAAGTTCGACTATTTATTGCTTAAATAAGTGTGACTAATATTCAGTCTATAGTCGATAGAATATTTATCGATTGCAATCACTAGCTGCTCGCAAGCGGGCAACACTTTTGCGCAATTTATTGTCATTTTACTCTATCTTAAAAAAGACAGACTGTAATGGTGCAATAAGGAAGTCATACAAAATGAATTTTACAGCTCACAGATAAGGTTAAGTTTGTTAAACAACTTTTTTCACACTGAGCTATTCAGAACCAAATGGACGGTTAGGGGGTCTGGTATCTTAGAGCATCGACTGTACACAAAAAGCTAGCCTTATAATTCGTATTTAACGTAAGAGCTCCGATTCCAATATCCAGTGCGAGCACTTCTATCGTTTTCGAAAATAATTTAACAAATAATTAAAGAAAGAAAAGGAGCAATATATGCACGGGTGAATTTTGTTAAAATGAATAAGTGCACATTTTAACGAAAAGTTTTCAGTAGTATGACAGCCATGTTGGAAAAAAATGTATGGAAAAAACACTAATTGCAATTACAATGTTAAAAGCCATCGTCCTCACGCACGTTTCTTGCTCTTATTTTGGCCATGATCCAAGATTCTAGAGTCACAATAAGTATTTTCTTTTAGGTTTTCGTGATACTGCTTTACCGTCCACATTCATGTGCTTGTGCACGGAAAACCTGCACCTCACGGAAACCCAAAATAATTCGAAAGTTTTGCACACACTGTCAATGTCGTAGAGACTGATTTAAACGGTTACGAACGCAATAATTTTGATCGCGATAAATTTGATTTTGTGCGTTTTGCCACTGTGCGTTGATACGCACGATTATAAATGTCATTAAGGGTAAAAACTGCACGACATGTTAAATAAAAAAATTAACAGTTGTGTAATAATGGGGTCGTTGTCAATTAACAAAATAGACTCAATTTACATTGCTACGGAACGGTGTGACCATAGCATAATGAACTTTTCGTCAATTGCGTAATGTACACACGCCAGCACATCAAGCTACACATTGACATATCACGGAACACGTTGCACTGGAGGCAATTTTCAAACAAAAATGTGTAGTGGTGTGCCGTTGTCCGTATAAACTTATTTATAAAAATGATTAACTTTTTTATAAAATTAAAAACCGCCATCGCAAGTACGTGAAATTACATCTATTTGCCAAGTTTTATTGAAATCGGTTACCGGAAAGTGCGGGAAACCGGATTTATCAAATTTAAATCGGATCAATACTGAGGTACTCTCTTTCCAACAAAAAAGGATCATCAAAATCAGTTCACAAATAATCGAGTAACATACACACAAAAAAACAATCTCAAAAAAATTGGGAACTTCCTCCTTTTTTCGAGTCGGTTAAAAATACGATACCCAAGCGCTACCACGACTGCGCGAGAATCTTCGGAAGACGCGAAACCTGTTTTACGGCTCGTATCTAGTTCGCACGTTACAGCGACGAGACGTAAACATCTTCATTAATCAATCTTGAGCAAAAATTAACACTTACCTTGACAAAAACCGTAATCATAAGGTTTAAGTTTTGATGACCTCTGTGGTCGAGTGGCTTGCACACCGGTTTTCATGGTGCCACCATCTCTGAGGTCTTGGGTTCGATCTCCTGCCGGGTCAATATAGAAAAACTAACTTTTCTATATTACCTCTGGTCTGGGTGTTTGTGGTACTGTCGTTATTTCAGATTTCCATAACACAAATGCTTTAGTAACTTTGTGATCAGAGCAACGTGTGTCACGTTGTCTAATATAATCATAATTGACTTATTTTTTAAAGTTTACTTGAACAATATTCATAACTCGAAGTTCACTGGGTCGCTGACGACCATTTGCACTTGTTTGGTATATGACAAATTCTTATGGCGCTTTCAAATTAGACGTTTGTAGGCTGCAGCGCTTCTACAAGCATCTAATTTGTAAGCGCCCTTATAACGGACTTTTGCGAATATGTGAGTGTATTTTGAATTAAGCACGCATGTTTCGGAATGAAAATATAATCCGAATTAATGCCGGCTGTGCTTGAATCCGGCGTTGTGATTGGCTGCGATCAATCGGGAAACTAAGTACTCCGAACCATCAAGGACAGGTTACTATGCGTGTTTATGAATACAGTCTTTCGTTAATAAATGAAATACTTTTTTGGCAATCCGGTGGGAATCGAGTTATATGGACGCTTCGCCACTGGTACATTACACAACTGACATAAAGTGAATTACGCCATAGTTACAAAAATTCCGTTACGCGTCAATGTAAATTAAGCCTAAATAATTTTTAATTATACTGGGTGATTTTTAAATACTAACAACCTCGCAGAACCGTATTACTAACATCATAAAAAACAATTTTAATCGCACATGACGACTAACATAGTATTATCTCAAAATTACTTTAAGTTATATTAATATTACCTATTTGATTTCAAAGCGACATGTCATATAAATATAGCGAAATTTTGGAGGTGGGTTATTAATATAAAGCAATTTTTGACATAACACTATGTTAGTTGTCAAGTGCGTTTAGTTCCATGACTTTTAAGGGTGCGTACAGATTTGGCGAATGCGCCGCAAACGCGCTGCATGTGCGCTGCTCGTATACTGCATGCGTGCAATTAAATACATGTTAGCGCATGAACGGCACGCGAACAGATCGCACAGCGTAATGCTCGTGTGCAGTTCGCGAGCCTATCGCAAACAGGCGCTTTCGCTAGATCTGTACGCACCCTTATAATTCATCAGATTTTACTTTCATACCAAAAGTAAAAATATTTAAATAGATCGCTCTAAATGGTGATAACTCTGTGCAAAACTCGGGTATCGTGAAAGAGGACGTTTACACATTTACACTTATTATCTTACTACCAAACACAAATCTAAAAAGTATCAGATAGTACAAAAACGTCTTAAAAGTTTATTCTTTGTACATTTATCGTCTTTTGTTAATGATCATGGAACAAAAGTTATTGTTTATAATGTTAGTAATCTAGTCCTGAGAGGTTGTATTTCAAAAACCCTGTATACGTAAAATCTATTTTGTTTATTATTCTTTATTTCTTAATCAACTTTGGGATTAGCCCTGGTGGCATAGTGGTAATGAATTTGTTTAATATTTTTACACGATAAATTGCATAATATTTTCGTATTTATTTAGTAAATTGTTAATGGCAGTTTGCATTTGAGCCACACACACACAAAGTAAAAATAAATATCATGTAGCCTTGTCATGTTTTTAGCTTAGATTTTCCTGACGATTCCAAAACGGACTAATTATAATATACACATACGGCATATTTAGCTGTAGAACTAATATAAAACAGTAACATTTATATTTACAGAAATAATTATGAGGCATACAGTAACAATTAAATTAACATATTCTAACATCGATTCTGTAAAGCCATACACATACTTTATTGAAAAAAAAAATCGAAACAAAAAATCTTTTTTTATTGCTCTTGTATTAAAGCAAAGGCGGTTAAAATTTTATTAATGAAAATCGCACGTTGTACAACTACATGTCAAGCGGGAAATACTAGTAAGTACGTGGCTTTATTGTGTGAGGGGCACAAATGTAACGCCACCTTTATGCTTCCGCTAATCAAGCGGTGTGGTTATGTGCGCAGTCGAAACATTAACAAAAAACAAGAACTCTTGCATGCTTTGCTCTTTATCATGTCGACTTTAATTGGTTTAGGTACCGACTGTGGTAAGGCCCAGTATAAAATGAACTACGCGAAATCTCTTTAAACTACTCATACGCAGACGTCAGGTACGTCTTGTGTAACAATGTGTATTTTTTATTTATTTTCCGTTTAGTATCAGAGTTACTTGTGTATTGTGCAGGTGACTACTGACTTTTTCTTACAGTCCCACTTGGGGTACTGGTGGTGTTGAAGGGGATTTATTTTCCTTTTTCACTATTAAATCTTACAGCGTAGAAGGGACTTGTAGATTAAAACATATTGGCTGCAAATAACGGTGTTTATTTATGTTCAAAGTGAAATGTACTTTCGATATTATTGGTACAACTAAATTTCGGGTCTGGTCTGCAACTTTGTCGTCTATTGATGTTATTTATTTTATTTTGGTAAAAAAGAAAATACCACGAAATTTTCTTTAGGTAACACATAGCACAAAGTATATGAACACATCTATTTTCTGTAAAAATAGCGTTTAACGTGTGTACATGCAATGCCAAAGTTTGTATTTTTACTTATGCACGTGTTGGCAGTTACTTTCGTTTATTTACTTCTCTATTTTAACAAGTGTACCATAATTTAAATGATTCCTATAAAATAGACGAAACGCGTTAATTTATAAAAAACTGAAGTAGATTATTCGTATTGAATTTAAATTTAACGATGACACGTTTGGTCGTTGTGGTGTACAGGGACATGCAGTATCAGTAGTCGTATCATAGTAGTGTCCAGAAAGCGTTACAAGTATCAAGACGTGACTACTTGGTACATCTTAAACCGCAAACATTAACAACGTGTATACAATACAACACTCACACAATACGAGATGTATCGCGTGCACGAAATGAGCATTTAATTCCAAACTCTTGCGGAGTTACGTGCCGTCATGGTGTCCAAGCAACTGTGAAATGTCGAGAAATTGGGCTTACTAGTAGAAATTAGTACAGTCAGGTGGTTAAGAAGCACATACTTGATTTTGAGGTCTAAGAAAAACAGGTAGTCATCAGAATTTTGAAGTAAGTACACTAAACTTGCCTTTGTTTATCGGTTTTAATGTTTTAACAATTATAACGGTAAATTCAATACTTACTTCCAAATTGAGCTACTACAAAAGATAGAGTAAGGGGAACAGTCGTCGTATATTTCTTATGAAGGTTTATTTCCTTAATTCCGTGTTAAATTAATATAAAAGTTATTGTGATCGTCGCCAGTCTTAATAGTTCCCTATTTATATCTCCCGGTCTCATAGCTACCCACCTACCCAACCTACCACATCATTTTTTATTCAAATTCCGTACCTCTTTCATAATCTGTGATTCTGCTTCTTTCCCAATCCTTCCATTGGCTAAATGCGACGGACTGTCAAATTTGTTCTTCCACCTTTTGGATTTGGAGCATCGTAGCGACATCTCTTTAAAATTGTTTAAACTAATTTGTTTTATCGTCTGAGAGAGCAAAACTTTTTTAATATTACTAAAAATCTAACCTAGGGAGGTGTAATAAGAAATAGGGAGTTAGGGTCCCTAATTTGGGCGACTTAATGTGTAAGGTAATAAGAGCGGCGACATAACTAGGGCCCACGCCCATCTTGACTTAAGGTCCTTGAAAACGGGTAGTGTAATAAGCGTTTAAGGCTTAAAGTCCCTCTTCCCCCACCTGTTCCTATAGATTATCTCGCGCGAGATAAGTCGTTGTAGCGTGTGCAGTGACACGACCAGCACAATAAATTCCGTCATAAAACTTAATAAACTCTGTACTGAGAGTCCTAAAACAACCAACGTCAAAAGTTCGTGGAATTACATCTATATGCTAAGTTAGAAACTGAATTCATCCCCTACTTTTTTTCCCCTTAGAGATGGAATATTTTCTTCAAAAATACTAAATAAATGAAACCACTACTGAGATACCCTCTTTCCACCAAAACAATCATCAAAATCGGATCACAAATTTTGAAGTCGGTTAAAACTAGAATTCCGTTGCATATTGTCCATTTATATCGTAGCTCAGATTTAAAAATTGTATACCTGTATACCTGGCTGCAAATTGCGCATCTCCAGCAATTAAGGGGTTATCAGAACGCAGTCGGCAAAAGTTGATTACTTTAATTGTTATCCAATTGGTGATTTCTGTAAGTGCATCTTGACTATCAAGTACCTCATCTCTACACTATTTATTACGAAAAGAACGGGCCAAAATTCAAGGTGTAAAGTCAAAATTATATAATTTATAACCTTATTATAATGAATTAGGGCGCACTTTCAATATTCAGATGAATTTCAGATATATTTAAAAGTGCTTGACAATTCATTGAGAGAGAAGATTGAAATTTAGTAACTCCCGACTTTGACGCGAGATTAAGTCACTCATTGATAACTAGATGTAGCCTGTACTCCACCCCGATCTATAGACATTGTGGTCGTTTTAAATTCGAATTTTATGTAAAAAGTTATTAACATATTTATATTCCATCATATATTGTATGTATCTGATTGAAGGGAGTGCAATCTTATGAAACTATCAAACTCCATTAGCAAAATATTGTAACTATGTAATTTAAATTTGCTATTGTACAGGCGACACATGTATTAAAGTGTTACATATTTGTTATGTGGTATTTTATTTTATCCCCAACTTTAGTGTGTTATTAAAGTCAGGCCACAAAGACGCGGTACAGCGGGAAAAGCGATCCGAGCGCGGACCAGCGGGAAGCTAATGCGTACCGGGGCGTGACACACAGCAGTCCCAAGCGTAGTTCGTGGCAGAATAGCGGCCCCTAAGGCGGCCACGTCTCATTTTCAACACAGATTTTAAAGAATAAACCACATCGCCGTCAGATAACGATAAACAAAATTTTCTGCTTTCATTAGCGTTTTCCGCGTTAGCCCGCTGCTGCCGCTCTGCGTAGACGGTTGCATAAACTCAATGGACTACAACTCGCACACCCGCACCCGCCCCGGGTTCGCCCCGAGCCCGCGGCGCATGAGCTCAGTGTCACAGTTGTTGTTGTAATGGAAGCATAAATGTTACTGCTTAGTTGCAGTCCGTCAGATAGCAGCCTTATTTAAAATCCAGCCGATTCATGAATATGGTAAAAAAAAACCAACTTTGTCACCAAAATATAATAAACAATAAAAAACAAAAATTCATAAATTATCGTCAACATTTTTAAGTAATGTATCCATGTAATTGGCAAGTTTTAACATAGGATTTGCCACTTTTCTACCAATTAATGCGTCATCTTCGGAAAAACTGAACCGCAGTTCTTCAGGCCAAAGTGTACTTGTGGATTTATGTGTAGAAAATTCTTTTGGAAATGTTGTGAGGAGACTTTGCCAGGGCTCGCTTGATGTTGGACGCCAAGTGTCACTGTTGGAAATGTGGTTGAACTCACTTGATGTTGGACACCGAGTACCATAAGTCGAATTGAGTCGGCACTCGTTTGATTTTGCACGCTGAATATCATTGTTGGAATCGCGTCGGCACTCGCATATTGTTGGCCGCCGAAAGTCTATGCTAAAATTGGGCCGGCATTCGCTTGATGTTGTACGCGTGAATGAATGAGAGTTCGAGTTGCATCGGCAACATTCCATGCGAGTATCTTCGCAAATGTGAAATATTATAGGCGTATTGGACATATTTTTCCATACGCTACGACGTGATTTCTTGGACTCCTGATACAATAATTTGAAAGAGGACATTAGATTATGTTACTATCTCTTCGCGTAAGTAATTGCTGACGTATCTATGTGGTTCTGGTCTTTGAAAGTTTTTAGTAACAAACTTTTACAAATACACAAAGTGATAGTAGATATTACTTATTTTAAAAACATTTACCTTTTTTCTAATATTTTTTACTTTTGTAGGTATAGCTGACATCTTTCGATGTTTAATATCGACTGTATCACGCTTAAGCCGAGGCTGCGGTTCATCGTAGTCTTCAGAAATATACTCTATTGGTGAAACGTAGGGCTGCAAAATATGACCTAGAATTAAATTATTTTCATTACAGTACTGAATCTTCTAAATGAATACATATGTCAAATTTAAATACAAGCACTTCAGTTGAATTGTTACGGTATGAAAATTATAAAATTAAATAAAACACACTTACACATTCTGCGCAAACCTCTGCAAAGGACATCACAGGCCAATATTGCCGTCAGGACCTGAGAACTGTACTCGTAATAACAGTTTCCTGAAAAGTAAAATAATTATAAATAGATACACACATTATTGTTCACACACAAGAACACTACATAAACAAAACTATCTTATTGCTAAGAGCGATCTCTTCCAGACAACCTTTGAGGTAGAGGAAAGCTAATCGGAGTGGGAGACGTAGTGTGCCAATGTAAAAACAAATGGATTGTACAAAGGAAAAAGAAATAAAAATCGTACATTACAATTTATCACAAAATGACGATAAATTATACCTACGTAAATATATGTATAAATATACATAAATAAACTTGTGCTTACTAATAATAATTTAATATTGAATTAAATTATTATATTGCTTTATTTTGTTGTGTGCGTTCTTTTAGTTACAGTGTCTTGTATTTAGGTTAGCAAAAAGAAATTTCTGTTAGAAATAAGCAGAACCTTTTGTTTTTATTCCTTTTGTGCAGCCTTAAACGTAAAGGAATCAGTAAGTAAAAGAAGGATTCAGTAAGTTATCCATTTCAGACCTTGGTTCACGATTGCTACCATCCCCGAGGAACCGAAAACGTTCCTTAAGGCATGCCGGAGTACGGGTCATATAGAATATTATAGGGAAAGCTGAGAACGTGCTCCTCACGGTGCAACTTGATGAGCAGCCACTGAAGCGTTCTCCAATATTCAGACACATGACTACACATATACATTTATATCTACTGACCAAGGACGAACGAAAGTAAAATTACCTGTAGTTAATTTAATATATGGAATGTAAGATCGCTTGCTATCGTGTATAACTTATTTTTAATGTAATTTGGAAATTTTATGTCACCATGTGATGAACATATTTGTCTACGCCGTGGATAAAAAAATTGTCTTACCATTATTTATTTTTACGAGTTGGTACGCAAACGAAACAAATTTAGACCACATACTGTACAGATTCATCAGATATTCATGTCTCTCCGCTGAGCCCTGTAAAAGGGTTGTGACGCTGGCGTCTTTGTAATCTAAGTTGAACCTCTGTAAAGGATCCTGCAAGAGTATTGTGACGCTTGCGTCTTTGCATTTTACGTCGAATTCCGTCGCAGAATCCTGTAAAAGTATTGTGACGCTTTTATTTTTGTTTTCTACATCATATTTCTCCACAGAGTCCTTTAACGATGTCGTAACGCTTGCATCTTTGTAACCTATGTCAAATTTTTCTTCCACAAAGTTGTTCAAGAATGACGTGACGCTTCCGTCTTCGACTAAATCTTTGTCAAATTTCACCAATGTGTCATCCTCATGCAACTTTGTGAACTCCTCCAGACACTGTAAGTTGTCTTTCACCGTCTCCAGTTGCAGGTTTATGTTTTCAGCGATAATCTTTCTCGCACATTCCAAACTTTCTTTAATGTCATCTGCCAAATTGGTGTCGTCAGTTGCATCGACAAAATTTTGAGTTTCACACGGGCTGAGTGTTTTAGTAAAATTGGCAATGGACTTTGCTTCCACGTCGTCCGTAGCATTGTGTTTATAGTTGCAGTCGTCGTAAGTTGTGTCAACGATTCTTCTGATGTTCTCCTTGGTTTGGTTGGGAAAATCATGTGATTCCTCTAGGCTCGTAGCGTATGTATCCCCGATTTGATTAATGTCGTGCAATGGGACATTGTGGAAATCGCTAATACTTCGGAAGGAATCGTCAACGTCAATGCGTATATCGCTGGAGAAACGGTCGATGCCGGAGTCGCTCGTCGACAACTCGTCTACGAGCCGCCTCCGCTCGCGTCTATCAAGCAACTCCTGGTGTAGTGATCCCTGGTGTAGTCTATCTTTTAAGTTCTGCGTCGCTTCTATTTGATTTTTTTCTAGTGCTTTGAACTGCTCGTAAAGATACCACGACCTCACCCGGCGAGCCTTTCTGTGAGCCCGCTCTTCTACACTCTTCATTGAATCTACATCTAAAGAAATTATATATATCTTATTAGCTGAAATGAATATCATCTATCGAATATTATATTGAAAGCTATTCAGTCACTTACCTATGGAATCCAAAAAATCCATTATGATTACTAATTAGTTTCCTTCGCACAGATGTCAGTAAATTTTGTTAATGACGGAGTCCAGTGTTTCACATCATTGGTGCGACATTTTTGTATAAAAATCTAAAATTGTAGTTTTCTGCAATTCTGACATTGCTACTCTTACTTCAGTCAAACAGAATGATCTCTTCGGTGAATATTTAACAAGTGCTTCAGCCAGTACACTGGTAACCTCGGCTCGTGAGAATATATCTTTTTATTTTTCTACTCCTCTCACTCAATGATGGTATTGTAAAAACTACGCAATTTATACCAGTTTCTTAGTATAGAGTCATACGAGCTTATTCCGACGGTACCTACCACAACTGCAAAACAGCATTTGAATTGCAGTCGACTCGACAGGTGTCGACAGCTCGCTGCCTTCTAGAGATTGAAGCATAGGCGTATCGACAAAATCTAGATTTTTGCGGATTGGACAAACTAAATTACTTTTTGAACGCTATATGGGCACCGAATAGGATTATCACTCAGACTAAGCATAAGCCTGTCGGTTTTTATTCGATACAAATGTCGTGGCGCTCACGCCGCGCAGCGACCGCGTGCACGTGTCAGGGGGTCTACTCTCGATCTCCGTCCGAAACAATTACTGCCAAATAAGCAATATTTGACCAAATGAAAAGACGCGTGATGCGAAACTTCATACTTGATACTTGTCTTTTAATTTTGGCGAATATTACTTATTTGACAGTAATTGTTTCGGACGGATGTCGGACGGAGATCGAGAGTAGACCCCCAGAGCCCGAACTGTCATGGCAAAATACGCTCTATTTATTTAGCTTTTACGTTTTAACTTAAATGAAAGTCTGGCTTGTCTTTAGTCTACGCGGCGACCGCGCATTTGTATTATTCCGAGTAAATAGAAGTCAGATTCGCCATTAATGTACGTGAAAGCGTGGTCGTGTAACTTGCCGCTGAGGGTTACCCGGTGGTCGCCGTTATGGAAGTAATAATAACGTTGACAATAAAATATCTTTATTTAGGAATTTACAACTTTAAAACAGTGGTATTGTAAGACCACGCGGGTCGCATGTTCCTCAAACCTGCAAGATGTGGAATGGTCTCTCTCCTGAAGTATTTCCGTTGCACTATAAAATAGGGTTCTTGAAAAAGTGAGTCAACCGTGTTTTCAAGTCATGGGCGACGATGACCACCTCCCATCATGTTAGTTTGCCTACTTACTTTACTTAAAAAAAAGTGAACCGACTAAATTTGCTTTTTATCAAAACACATCGAGGACATAACCATAAACATAACTTTGGTAGGTCAATGATTATAGTGTTATATTAGCAATGTACGGGAAAACGACATAGTTTATATTACATCGCATTTAAAACATGTATTATTATTTATTTATTTATAAAGCATTGGTTTCAGAGCCATCAGCTAAATGGTAAGAAATAATCAAGAAACACACAACGTAATATACATAAACTAAAAATTAATTCGTTTAAAATGTAACTACTAAAACCCGCCATATTTTCCATTACATTTGAAAAAAACATGTGCAAAACATGTTTGTTTATGTGTAAATAAAAAGAAAGTGAAGCTGGCAAAATGCCACGCTCGAACGGCTAGTTGCTAAAGACTCAATATGAACAGAACCTTAAGTGGGTGATAGATGTACGAGGTTAAAAATCGCTGTTTTAAAGTTTGCGCTCTTACTCAGCTCGACGTGCGCGACACACGACAGATTAGCTTATAATGTTACGCGGTGTCGTCCACGGAGGAGGTCTTGTGTTATTTGGGAATAATATCATATCACATTTTGAAAACTAAAAAAAGAAGACACTATCGGCGAGTGTGGGTGAAGAACTGGTTTACGAAAAGAGAGCGTTTATCACATGTAAATTTAGTAAGAGAGTTACGTGAACAAAAGGAAGACTTTCGTAATTATTTAAGAATGCCCGAGTCGCTGTACGAAGAACTCTTGCACTTAGTTACACCTATAATGGCTAAACAAGATACCTGCATGAGAAAAGCAATTTAATTTCAACAAAATGGCGGCTCGTGACTTGCGACGCTGCCAGACATGCGAGCCGAGGCGGGCTACGAGCAAAATTTCAAACATGTTTGATCGCTGATGGTTTTAAAATTCGCGTACTTAGGGTGACACACGAGTGAAAAAGGTCGTCGAGCCACAAGTATGCGTATTTACTCGTACGTCTATCACCTACTTAAGACTATGGAATTGTTTTTTTAAGCGGCGATGCAAACGCGATACACGTTTCAAATTATCTTATTTATTTAATATATTTATTAATTTCACTTTTAAATTTACAATCAACAAAACAAAATAACCTGCGTAAACCTATACAGATTTCTCGTATATAATTCTTCAATTTATGCGACATAATCGCCTGTAACTCGCGAGTATCGCGATGCAATTGCGCCTTTCACGAACGCGCGTTTGCATCGCTGCTAAAAGTCGTCGTGTGTAAGTATTCTACGAACAGAATAGACTGGCAGGCTAGTGGCTTCGTGGTAGGTACCATTGCGAATACGTTTTCGGAACTCTTTGATCAAAGAACCTCATCAAGCGTCACCTCTTTCTATAGAAAATTACTCATTTATTGTTTGTTCCAGCTTCTGCAGCTCTTTTTGATATTTTGTGTTTGCATCGATATATTGTCATAACTATGGAAACTAGATTATTGATTAGAGCAAACTTTGTACATATAGGTACTTAGATTCAGTGACTTTCCCAAAGAAGTCCCAAAGGTGTTGAATCCAATCTACCCTCTGGATTAATATTTAAACTCACAGTTAGGCAGAGACTATCGATCGCAACTTAGCAGGATCCTATCCAACCTCTGTTTCACTTATATTCATCCGTATTTTCATACAAGCCTCTTATTCTTCTCAATTTGATCCGAGAATTTTCTTCGTGGCCGTCCTCTTCCAATGATGCCTTCCACGGTAGCTCTATATATTTCTTTCGATAATCTACATTCATTCATCATTAGTGAGGATAAATAAAACAACATAGGTTTACCGCATATCTTATACAATTTGATTAATAGTATAAGTGCGTAAATCATGTTTCTGAAATTATGTAAAAATAACATTCTGTAGATCATAAATATAAAATAAACCGTCTAAAAGTTTCAAATTTCAGATTCTGTAACAACAAATGCAATAGGCGTTACATTTATACATATGTTACATATGTAGCAAAAACAGTTTAACACAATATAGTAAAATTTTGAGCATACTGTGAACGTATCGTTGACTTTTTACTGCAGTAGGTACAACAGCAACGTCGACATAGAATGTTTACGTTATGTTATACATCGATAATGTGGCTGCGTAGTACAATAATATATATATACCTTAACGCTGAACAAAAAAATAAGTTAGCGTTACTAGTTGCAACGGAAATATAGAAGGAAAATGATCAGTAAAAGAAGATAGCGCCACCAGCGGCTTGCCGACTGTAACCAGGGTTGGTTTGCGAAGAATGGACTCCTGAGTTCATTAGCTTGACACTGAAAGGTGATTTACGCTCGGTAATACCGCCACGCTTCATCGGGTGACCCTGCAATGAAGTTCTGATCTGATGATTCTGATCGAATGAAGCCATGTACTCGTCAGTGTCACATATTCGATATCAAATCCTACAATCATCGCCGGAAGATTATTCAGTTGCGAGGTTCACCTTCCGAATCTTATTGGGAACTACCTAATTTAGAAATCACTGTAACTTTTTAAAACGACTTTCGTGTTAAAATATTTCAAACAACTCTATAATAAAGCGCAGGCACAACCGCGAACGCAGCTAAGTTAGCTTAGCTCACGTAGCCGGGGCATCTATTAGTTCGGCTCACACCGCCAACTAAGCTAACTGAAGTGACCCAACGATCCCGCTAAGCTATGTAAAATATGTCGCCTTTCTGCCGCCCCTCCCGCACATATCCATGGAGGAGCACATCACTACTTAATACGTATTTTCTTATCTTAGCTTGGCATGCAACTACGTAAGCTTAGCTAAGGTAGCTTCGTTCACTGTGTGGTCTGCGCTTAACATTTAGTCGAAAGTTTCAAAAGAAAAACATTAGATACACAGGCAGTCTAACTATATACAAACCGTGGTTGCAATAAATGATATTATTATTATATTGTGTATACTGACCCAACTACCCGTATGCTGTGGTATTAGGGCGCCTTCAAATTAGAAGTGCTGCAGTGACGCGTCTGTGGCGCTGCAGCCGCGCCACTACTAACATTCATACAATTCTTACCGCGCGCGCGCGCCACTTCTGCAGTCTAGATACACCCGTGGCAGATTTACAGTCTTGATACACCCAGTGGCGGATTTACAGTCTTAGCCGCCCTAGGCTCCAGGCCATCAGTACCAGCCGCCCCTTTCTCAACACGCATCATAAACTGGTAGACTACATAATGAATTTATTGCCAACTTTTATCGAAATCTATTCAGAAATTCTTGATTTTGCATGCATGGCATGATTTTTTCCGACATCTTCAACATTTATCGTCACATTTCAGCCAAATTACACAAAACCTAAATAAATTATACACCTAAGTACTTATAGCATCCTCTAAATGCACCTACTCGATCTATTTGTACCTACCTACTGGAGCTGTTGACTAAAGCTCAGCGAATTCTATTTAAATCGATGGCTGTACTTTATAAGCACCGTCCTTTTCCCAAGTAACATGTTGTATTTAGTACTTACCCAGCATTCACATAAGTGTACTTTACCTAATGTAAGGCCTTATTATTGAACAATTGAACAGCTTCTTAGTTGTTTTGAACCACATTTACGGACCTATATTATTATTATTATTACCTAAACCTGCCTCATGAATCACTCTATTATTGGTGGAAACCGTATGAAAATCCGTTCAGTAGTTTTTGAGTTTATCGCGATCAGACAGACAGACAGACGCGGTAGTTAAATGATAATATGTAGTGATTATACATTACATTATAGATATGTAACATATTATATATATATATATATAACCTGTGCAGTGCGACCCGCTATAATGTGCGTGAGCCTTTAGATTATTTAGTTACTTTGAGTTATTTTTTGTTATGATCAGTGAATTTTTTGCCACGATTGGCCGCCCGGGCCTACTGGACCTTTTGGCAAATCCGCCACTATACGACACGCGACATACCTAGTATGAAAATTAGTAAGTAGAAGCGCAACTGCCGCGCCATTGCAGCGCTTCTACAAGCGTCTAATTTGTAGGCGCCCTTTGAAGTGGGCACTTGGCATAGCTAAATTTAAAAGGAATTATAATGTTTACCAGAGGAATGACAGTAGGTGGTGGTTTGTCACATGTGTTCCGTATTCGCCGCCAGGTTTCGCATCCATGCGTCTCGGGCTGCAGATACAAATCTACTTTATCTGCCATGAACTCCGTGGAATGATTATAAGTAGCAGCCAGCACGATGTCCAGGCTCTCCTCTGGAATACTGCAAAGAGATATAATGTATAATACATATAGGTACATAGTAAATACTGTAAAGTAATTTTCATGCAGTGGAAAAAAATAAAGCTGTTTTAAGAGAACTTCCGCTTTTAGACTTATCGTAAGTGCATTTGTTAATTAACACACTTCGCTATAAGTAAGTAGTTACAGTAATATATGTAGTCTATGTATACATAATGAGGAAAGGCGCACAGGACCTGTATGGTAACTACATGATACATTATCTTTTAGAAAATCTATGCAATTAGAATACAGTTTGAACGCGATTTGGATTGATATTGATAGACATTCAGATTTATAGCATGAACTTGTATTCGGCTATAAATTGTTCGTATTTACAAAACGAACTTTGTGTAAATATGATCAGGAAATTACGAAGCCAATTCAAAATTTCATTTCATTTCTTGCTTCTTCTCCTTACGTGTCGATTCTGACATTTATATTTGTGAGTACCGGTACTCAGCTACTGACACAGCCTTATCAGTGGCGTTGTACAGGTCCTCGCCTGTTACAGGTGTAGGGACACTCAGGACAAAACAAAAGATGTGCCATAACCTAGGGAGAGACTCCACAAATACATGCGCTCTTACAGCTATAACCCCACCTGTGCATACTCTCCTTGCTTCGGCCGGCTTGGATCCAAAGTCTATTTAAAGACTTCTAATTTCTTGCTTACACTTAGCCAAAGCACACCCCGGACATTCTACACAACAGTCGAAAATTATTTACCTATTACTACTACATACAGCAAGGCTATCTGCACACGCGCAAATGTGTGCGTGAAGTGGCAGGGTTACCCATCCCTTGCTCGTGCTATTAAGTCACGTGGTCAGAGCGGCAACATAGCGAAAATTCTAACGCAAATCTGTTATCTATAATTCTATTATAGAATCCTAATAATTACACTTGTTCATTACGTATTTATATCGATATAATATTATATTTTTCATTAATTCACTAACTAGAATAATATTGGAGATTTATTTTAAAAATATTTTAAAAGCACTTGAAATGTTAGATTTTGGACAGGTACCTTTAAATAACGTAACCAAAGTATTTGAAATTGCGTGTCCAACTTTATCACTACCTGGTTAATAATTAGGTATATTCACTACGCAATATTAATCGGCAATAAAAATTGAAAATTCGAGAACCATTGTAGACTCACGAATGGCTCACGAAGTTATGGCGTCTTATTGTATTGATACAATAAATCTGTATTATATATTACTCTGTACTAAAGAAAACAATAACTGAATGAGTCTCAAACATAATTTTTTTTATTTACTTCGTATCATTTTTCAAAAAACGAAAGAAATTCCTCTCTTTATCCCATTTAGATGATTGATTTTATACAGCCGTACATAGCACAATTCACGACCATTATAGATAGTAACGTAAACTGATATTATATATTAACGTACAAATTTCGTAATGAATAAACGAAAACTATATTCAAATATCAAAGCCGTCTTAGCGCGAAAACGGGTCGCCGACAGCCTTATTCTCGTTCAGTCACCGTGTGACCGTCAATGTGCGGGGCGTGGTGCTGTATCTAAAGCTAGGGAGGGGCGGAGAGTGTCCGTTCTCATTACTTATTAATTCTCTAGCCAAAGTTCATTTTGTAAATATAAACTTGGTTAGTTCCCATTTTTTGCTTAGTCCAAGTCAAAGTTTATTTTATAAATCTAAGCCTGAGCACCCAGTTACACGAAGAGAAACGTGTTCTTGACAGTACATTAATGGTGAGTCTGAATTCTATTAACTTGGCTACAAAATTTAAGTTCCTCTGAATAATATAACTGCGCGGTCGCCGTGCGGATTGACGCGTAGACCAAATTCAAGCCAGTCTCGCCCGCATGCCCGGAATGCTCATTTAAGTTAAAACGTAACTGCTAAATAAATAGAGCGCATTTTGCCATGACAGTTAGACGCACGCGGTCGCTGATCTTTGGCATAGCTTTCAAAATACAGGAATGTAACAGCGAGACGGTCTAGATACAACAACGCTATAAAAAGTATATATCATTTCCACTACATCAGGAAGTATGCCTTACATTTTTAATATTTTATATTTGTAAAATCTTGTACTCGTAATCTATTTCGCCTCCGTATATTACGTCCGTACGATGTCGTGCGGACGCTCCGGGCTTCGCCCTCCGCGGCACACCCCGGACACTCCATACAACGGTCGAAAGTTATTTACCTACTACTACTACATACAGCAATGCGCTATCTGCACACGATCAAATGTGTGCGTGAAGTGGCAGGGTTATCCATCACCAGAGAATAAAATTAAAGGCCGGCGCAGAGTGACGTCGCGGCATGGCACGGCACGGCAAAGGATTTTATTTTTGATCAAGTTATTTTTATCCTTATTTCATCGAGGTTAGAATTCATATTACTTTATTTCGATACAATTATACCGCGGCACGTCGTGGCATGCCGCAAGACGCCGCGGTATGCCGCGGCACATCGTGGCATGCCGTTTCATTCCACAGACGTCCCGCAAGTCACGTCGGTCACAGAATTATGACAATTAAACTAATTGAAATAAGGTTTGAAACTAGTGCGGCGGCGATTTCGGCGAATGGCGCGCAGCGAATGTGCCGCGGCATGCCGCAACGCGCTTCGGCATGCCGCGACGCGCTTCGACATGCCGCGGCATGCCGTGCCGTGCCGCGACGTCACTCTGCGCCGGCCTTAAGAGAACGGACACTCTCCGCCCCTCCCTAGTTTTAGATACCGCACAACGCCCTGCACATTGCCGGTCACATTCACTGAACGACAACAAAGCTGCCGACGAGCCGATTTCGCGCGAAGACGGCTTTGATATTTGAATATAGTTTTCATTTATTCATTACGAAACTTGTGCGTTAACATAAAACATCATTTTACGTTACTATTTATAATAGTCGTGAATTGTGTGGTGTACGGCTGTTTATCATCATTTTCTGAAAGATGAAACGAAGTAAGTAAAAAAACTTATGTCTAAGACTCATTCAGTTATAGTTTTCTTCATTTATTTACTGCAGAGTAATATATGTATAAAAAATACAGATGTATTACATCAATATAATGAGATATTTTTCATTAATTCACTAACTAGAATAATATTGAAGATTTATTTAAAAAATATATTAAATGCACTTAAAATGTTATATTTTGGGTAGGTACTTTTAAATAAGGTAACCAAGGTACACCTGAAACTGCGTGTCCAAGTTTATCATTACCTAGTTAACAATTAGGTATATTCACTACGTAATATTTATCGGTAATAGAAATTGCTAATTCGAGAAACCTTGTCTATTAGCTCACGAAGTTATGGGGTCTCATTATATTGATATAATAAATCTGTATATTATATATTACTCTCATTGACTTACAATTATATGGACGTCTGGTCCGCGCTAAAAAGTGTCCGCACTTGTAAGGCGCTAAAATCGTATACAGAGCGCCAAACTCCGCTTTAGTCTTCATTTGTTCTACTGACAGCGCAATACTGCGATGACATTACAATTTAAATTTCGAATAGGTTGACTTGGGACATTTTTTTCGTGGTTTTTGTATTAGACCCGTCGTCCATTTATTTGTAAGTCAATGATTACTCTGCACTAAATAAATTAAAAAAAAAAAACAATAACTGAATGAGTCTCAGACATAAGTTTTTGTTTAATTACTTCGTTTCTTCTTTCAGAAAGTGAAAGAAACTCCTTTCTATCCTGTGTAGATGATGATAAATAGCCGAACACAGCACAATTCACGATCATTATAGATAGTAACGTACAATGATGTTATATATTAACGTACAAGTTCCGTAATGAATAAATGAAAACTATATTCAAATATCAAAGCTGTAGCTATCAAAGCGCGAAAACGGTGCACCGACAGCCTTGTTGTCGTTCAGTCAATGTGACCGTCAATGTGCGGAGCGTGGTGCGGTATCTAAAGCCAGGGAGGGGTGGTAAGTGACCATTCTCTTTACTTTTTTTTTATTCTCTGTCCGCGGACATCGGCCTGGGGCCTCGGAAGTATGACTTTGTTATAAAAAATTAAAATAGCTCTTTAATGGCGGCCATGTTTAAAAATGGTAAAATATATTTTGACCACTAATCATTATCAGATAATCCTAGAAATCTTTTCGTACCAATTTTCCTGCCTGAGCAAAGCATGATTTTTCGACAGTCATACATATATTATACATAAAAAAAGAACGCTTGTATGGCAGCTACCTACATCGAAAAACAGTGGAAGCAAAATTTTTACCCCAAATTATTATTGAAGCCATGCCATTTTCAATCGAATTAGAAGAAATTTTTCTCTACCGCCAAAAAAGTTTGCATGGCACCCGTATTGAAAAATGGCGAAAAATAAATTTTGACCGCAAATTATTATTAATCACCCATAGAGACCCTGACATGCCGATTTTCAGTCGTATTAGAGGAAATTTTTATCTGCCGCTAAAAATGTTGTATGGCAGTCATTGAAAAAATGGTGAACAATAAATTTCGACCGTATATTATTATCATACGCTTATAGAGACTCCCACATGCCGATTTTCAGTTGAATTAGAGCAAACTTTTATAAACGCATGTATAGTGGCTTTATTGAATAATGGCGAAAAACTAATGTTGATCATAAATCATTATCAAGTACTCCTAGAGACCCCCCACGCCAATTTTCATAGGGATCAGACCAATTTTTTTTCTGCCGCCAAGAAACGCTTGTATTTTTGATAATTTATTTAGTAAAAATATTTTGCGGTAAATAAGTAATTTTCATTGCAATTGATGAATTCAAAGGTGTCCCAGGCGGGTTCAAAGCTGCCCGAGGTGTAAGGCAGCTTTGAACATTTGAGTTCCGTCACACAAATGGGAATTCTGACAGTATGCACATTATACAATTTTTAATCGTGCTTATTATGAATTAATAAAATAAAAAAAAGCCAATTAGTAGATCTACCTACTGCAGCAAACAAAACAAATAATAACGATTTAGCATTTTAGCCTGATAGATTTCAACCAGAGATGTGAAAAATATTCAAATGTGCCCTCTTCACCCCTATATATTGTTTTAATATAATAAATTGTTGTGGATTGTCTAGAAATGTAGAAAGGATATAAAGATATCTTAAGTGGAATATTGAGCTAGTTGCATTTTCCTGTGATCCACAGATCATCCGTAGGTGCCTATGGTATATATGTGGATACACCTAGACCACTAGAATTAGAATTACCCTTACGAGAAAGGATGGAAAAAGCTTAGTCTTCTTATACTAGCTAAAGTATGATGGCAAAAGAGCCGGTCTCCCCAGTGGCATCCATGCTTCTCCTTTGTAGTTAAAACAATGTCTTTTGAGAGAGTGCCCTCTTTCCTCAAATCGGGAAGAAGACCTTTGTTCCTCACTTGCTTCACTCCGGACATTTTTAGTATAACAAAGCCGAATTGTTTTGGAATAACAAATTTATATAAATAACCTAAAAATGAAATGCAAGTAATTTTATGACTTCCATGACAACAACCATAGATAAATATGTAAAAACGAAGAAAACAGCAAATCTAAAGGAGACGAAAAACATTGATCAAACAAAAAGCATATTTGGAAAAAAAAAATTGTAGGTACATGAATGCTCCTAACACAAAGGATCTGAAATTCTGAACGCATACGCAACGCTATGGAAAAGGCGAACTATATAAATGTTGCTATGTTGTGGTTATATGCTATAATATTTCACACTTAGCTATATTTTATAATTATAGGAGAGGACTTATAATTTAATTAAAAGAACGGAAATAATAAATTACGTAATAATCGTTTAATAATTTAATTTACCATTAAAAAAACATGAATTTATCACGATAAACAAGCGTCACGACGCTTGTTGCTTTGTCTATAAAATGAGACTAGAATTAATATTTAGAAGGAAAAAATATTTAAAAAATAGCAACATTAATGAAACATCCCCACCACAATCCTTCAAACATCCGGTGCGTTTGTTCCGGTCGCCATGAAATGAAGAAATCCGTCGCCATATTTGATTCATCACTTGTTCGTGTGTGATGCCAGTTGGCTTCTTCGTACTTTCTGTCTGTGAAATACTGTGAAAACAATATTTTTCAATATTAAACTGTAACGCAAAAGTACAGCTACCAAAATGAGTTACGGGAGACCACCGCCCCGTATAGATGGAATGGTGTCCTTGAAAGTGGATAATCTCACGTACCGCACGACCCCAGAAGATCTACGGCGTGTATTTGAGAGATGTGGCGAAGTGGGTGATATTTATATTCCCAGAGATCGATACACGCGTGAAAGCAGAGGATTCGCATTTGTCAGGTAAGAACTGTTCCATTATACTCGAAAACTAATTTCATGACGTCATTAACTTACCGGCAAAAAATACCATGCCGTTCATTTGTAATAGCTGTAAATCATCACGTTACGAAGTTACTTCATTATGTAATTATTTCATGGTAGGTTTTACGACCGCCGAGATGCCGAAGAAGCCCTGGATTCCCTAGATGGCCGCATGTTGGACGGCAGGGAACTTCGGGTGCAAATGGCTCGTTACGGACGGCCCTCTTCTCCATACCGAAGCAGATACGATCGTAGACGCAGGTAAGTAACCAAAGACGTTTTCTGTAGAACATTATTTTCTTTCATACTTCTTTCAACAGCAGCAGACCACTGCCTGGAATGCCATTTTTGTTTTATGTCACTCTTTGTGCTATTGTTGACTTGCAATTAATTATTTCATTATTGTGTGGTTCTATGTGTTGTATTTGGCTGACAAAGTTCAATTGCAGTTTATTTCAAAAAATAACACAGCATACTTCAGTTATTTTTGTGACTGCTACAATTTCACAGCACTATAATACACGGTCTTCTTTTGGAGGTTTTTGTGGAATAAAATTTCCATGCATGTTTTAAGAATGCAGGATATAGAAAAATAAATAGTGGACTAACATTGTTTGTTACGATGGTGTTTTAGCAAGTCCCGTTCGTCTGGCCGTAGGTCTCGTTCGCGCTCGCGACGCCGCTCGTACTCGCGCAGCCGCAGCCGTTCCAGGTCTCGTTCGCGCTCTGATTCCAAGAGTTCCCGTGGTCGCTCCAGGAGCCGCAGCCGCAGAAGTTCGCGCTCTCGCTCCCGCTCCAGGCATTGAACTACTTCAGTAAGTACAGTACATACCGAGTCCATATATGGAAATGTGTTAAATTCAATTTGATTACTTATATCACCTCTTGCATTAATAATTATAGGTAATTTATAAAAAAAATTAAATGTGCTGGCTCTGGCCAAACAGTTACCATGCCAATCTGCCATACAGAGTCCCGGGTTCAATACCCAGACCAGAGGAAATAAATGTATGTAAATAATGTAATAATGGCACAGAAGGTTGATGTTAACAGTACGAGATCGTCAGGGTCTGCAATTAGCATGGGTGTCCTACAAGGTTCAATTCTAGGGCTATTTTTGTTTTTAGTTTATATTAATGACTTACCTAGCCTTATGGAGGGTATAAAACATGAGATAGTATTGTTTACTGATGATATTTCCTTATTATTTAAAGTTAAAAGGCACCAATGTTTCTACGACGATGTGAACAATGCTATATCTAAAGTAGTTGATTGGTTTGCTGTTAATAACCAACTCCTTAATGGAATAAAAACAAAATTGTGTGAAATTTACATTACCCAATGTTAGAGAGACTGTTGCAAACACTGTAGGTAGAAACGAAAAATTGAATCTTGTGGATACAGTTGTATTTCTATAAGTCCTCATATAAGTAAGTTATCAAAATGGCTCGGCTCTGCAGTGTACGCAATTAAAAAAATAAGGAAACTTTCAGACGTCGAAACCGCTAGATTGGTTTACTTCAGCTACTTTGACAGTCTAATGACATACGGCATTTTGTTTTGGGGTAATGCCGCCGATATCAATAGAATCTTTGTCCTGCAGAAATGTTCAGTTAGGGCAATTTACAATCTGGGCCCCAAAGTATCTGAGAGATAAGTTTAAGGAAATTAACATTCTTACACTAGCCTCACAGTACATTTATGAAAATGTAATTTATGTTAAAAGGAATAGTAAAAGTATGAAAAATAGTGACAGACATAACATTAATACGAGGAATAAAAATAAACTAGCTCTTCTTGACAGTCGTCTTCACAAAGTAAAAAAATCATTTATGGGGCAATGTATGCGCTTCTATTACAAAATTCCGGTTGATATACAAAATTTGCCTTTCACGAGGTTTAAAACTGTAGTGAAACAAAAGCTTTATACTAAAGGTTGTTATATACAACTTGCGTATTTGGATGACAAAAATCTGTGGTAGTAACCCGTTTAGCTCATGGAGGTAATCTCAATCAAATAAAAAAATATATATATTGTAAATGTTGAATGTGTGCAAATGTTATTTACAAAGAGCAACCCCTAGAGTTTCTTGCTCATTCTTCTCGGGGGCATCTGCCTTACGAATGAGCGGTAGAGTTTAACCATTGTGATGATTTAAAGTGTAATAATGCTTACCTATGAAATAAAGATTAATTTGAATTTGTATAACCTACATTTATTTCTCTCGTGAATTTGGTTGCAATTTGTGGTTGTCCATGTGTGTGTCCATTTCACCCACGACACAGGGTTTCCCGAGTACAGGGCTATGTTGAGTGTGAGTGCATTATTATTATATTACAACACAACATTGGTGAAATCAGTAGGTGTTAATTTATCATATCGCACGTATTTGGCACATGAGAACTAATATAATAATATTATCTCAATTACTACATTATATTTTATCTCAAAAATGGCATTATATATCATTTTTATACAATTTAATTTAAAAGTGACATTGTCGTTCTGTCACTTTGAAATTAAATTGTATATGAATGTGATATATATATATATGTATATCGCCGTTTTTATATAATACTATTTTTTTTAACGCACTCTCAGCCCTGCACTAAGGCAACCCTGTGTCCTGGATACCATGGAAATACATAGACAACCACACATTACACCCAAACTCATGAGAGAGAGAAATAAATGTAGGCCAAACAAATATTTCTCCTGGCCCGGGTACCGAACCTGGGACCTTGCAAGGCAGATCAGAATGGTAACCATTCAGCCACAGAGGTTGTTGAAATGTTAGTTATCATGTGCGATATTTTCATATTATTCAGTTCATGTTAACTGTTTATATTTTCTTACTCATTTACTATTTTCTTCCAGGTAAAGAGTATGAGTACCGTGAGAGTGCTGAAGTGCTGGCCTGTATGACTCCAGCAGCCTTCAGCCAAGGTACTACCACTCATTTACTCTCATTGCCATCCCAGACCTACTATGACCATCATAGTGGCAACATTTTGATGTAACAAATTATCTTTTAAGTTCCTTTAAAGTAGGTTGAAACATTGTATTCAGATTATTCTCTTTTAAACTTGTGTATGTGTGGTCAATAACACTGGTATAAAAATGCCTATATACATGTCTTTAGTAAGGTTTTGAGACTTTTTTTACACATAGCTATGGATATTAATGCTTTTGTTATTTTGTAAGTTAAATGTACAGAATCCTGGCTAGTGCTTTGGCACAACAAAATATCTTTTCCTCTATTTAGTATTCTTACTAATGACTTATAATATGATGTGTGTAATATCACTAATCAGCACTAGATGTGTGTGGCTACGGTCATTAAGGTATTATTTCAGGTTAATATAAAGCAAGATCATGTTCACCCAAGGGCTAGTTGGGCTAAATTGGGCATTAATTTGGAACACCTTCACAATTTGTGGTAAACATGTTTACACGTTTATGGAAATTAATGCCTGAAACTGTAGAATATCTTTAGAACAATAGTTTTTTTTTTGTTATTATAACTATTTTATCACTATCCTTTAGAAGTAACAGGCTTTTGAATGGTTAGACCGACGTCTTGATATTAAAAAACTATAAAATTGTATTATTTGCTCGAAAATTGAAACACATGTGAAGGTCTGCTACTTTTATCATTGATTGTACTGTAAGAAACATTTACTTTAAGGAATAATTACTAATGTAATATTAATCGTAATGTTGGTATGCTCAGGGCGTGTGGCGTACGCGGGGAGCGAGGCGGTTTGCGGGGAGGGGGGTTTTGCTGTTGCTGTTGTGCTGCAACTGCTGATTTGCTGTTGTTGCCGTTCATAAGTTATGAGTAATCTTTAACTATTTATTGACAAACCGAGACACGCATTAAATAGGTAAATCGAGTACGCCTCGTATTCTCATGATTTGTGGTAATTAATGATTATTTTACACTTGAAAAATGAAATAAATAAAAGACACTTTCATATGTAATTTAAAAATATGGCTATGTATAAACCAGATAGAAATTCTCCTACTTAAGTAATCAAAGTAAAGATAAGCATATAGATGCGGCCGGCAGAATGCAACGGACTAACATGTGCATTTGTTTGGCAGGCCGGTGCAGCTCGCTGGCCTGTGCTGTGCTGTGCTGTGGCAGTTTCCCGTGCTGATTGCTGTATTTCCAGATTCGCGCGTCTAGGTTTATCGGCAACGTTACATACCCCCTCGCCCATTAAAGCGAACGAATACAAGTACATCCACAGCGTCGTTACATAACATTAGTTTGGCATATGTTAGTCGATTCACATCTAACAGTAGCGTTATTATCTCTTAGTACTATTAGCAGGCATCGTCGCCTTATTTCGTCTGCTAAACTAATCTTACATTAATGACGCTAAGTTTTGCGGTCTCATTGGCGATTTTTAAACTCAACTATAGAGTGGATCATAAGAAGAAAGAAGAGTCACCGATATGGACCCATGGCACTGGATTTTGTGTAGGTTTATTTTTATTAATAAATAAAATTAATTTCGTATAGTAACATTTTGACTTTTATTTACATTTTGAATTGCAGTCATGCCTACCTTCGATTTACCAAACCAGTGATTATTGTGGAAAAGTACTCGACCAATTC